TATTACATGAAGCAAAAATATAGAAAGTCCGACAAGGTGTTGATCTGTCTAATCATCACCTGTTTATTAGTGAGCTGCATATTATTCACTGCACCAATTCCCTTACTTGCAATAGGTAGTTCATTCCTGCAACAAAGTGGAACACCCACTTCAGCTGCTGTTTCAGACGGAAATGCTATTATTTACACTCGTTTTCCATGTTACATTGTTGGCACAAGAGAGTGCTCATATTCTCAATCCTCTTCATATTCAGATACGAACCGAGGCATTGTCTTTCGAATTTCTTTTCCCACGTTTTCCAAGGACGGTGGTTCCAATGTGTCACAAACCAATCCAAACAAACCTTACAAAACCCTGCTCTCAGATACATGTTATCCAAAATCACAACAATATCATACACAATCCGAATATGTGTGCTACACCAACAAGGACGAAACAAAAGTTTCTCTAACTGAACCTAAAACCAGTCAAAGTTCTTACATGACCAATGTTGGTTTTCAATTACTCTTATTTGGAATTATTGGATTTATTTCAAGTGTCTGTATCGTCATTTCACTGTGCTGCATTTGTTGGATTCTAATTGAGCACAAACCTTGGATTCAAGATAATTTAACATTCTCAGAACAACTTCAATTGGAAGCAGCAGAAGAGGCCTCTCGAAAATATAAGGAAGCTAATTTGGTGTGAACAATCACCCAGTCATTACGAAACTAATTTTCTCAATAATATTAATACTAATAATTTATTCTAACTGAACATCCATTCATGATTTGACTAACCTTTTTGATACACTCAATAAAGATATTATTCCTATTAACCTGAATTAAATCATCTTCAAAATTTAATGAATAATATTGGTAATATACATGTATACGAAAAAAGAGGACCAAATTGTTAAAGTTAGCAAAAACGAAAATAAAAAAATGCAAACAAGGAAAAAGCCACCAACACGCAACAACCACCGATGATCAATGCTTGGATTTCCATCCCATCATGGAAAAGACTATTAGTTTTTTCGGGATTTATCTATTGGTGTTAGGTGTTTTAAAAACAGTGGAATACTTCAGTGAAGGGTTACAAAAGATTGAAGGAAGCTTGGATTTAAGATCATCGGGATATTCATCAGATCCTCCAGAAATTGAAGTATTTGAATTGATTGAAAAGATGGGCTCCGAAGGAAGGACTAGTCATCTCATCATGCAATTTATAGATCAATTTCTATTTGTTCCGATTTATTGTGTTGTCCATTGTTATGTCTGGTTAAAAATTGGAGAAGGCTTATTCAGTCCATTAATGTACATTCTCGTCGCTCTTACAGCCTTAGTGGACACGGCAGAAAATTTATCCATCATTGTCTTGTTATTGACCTATCCGTTTTTGAGTGGAGTGGTGAATGTGAAAGAGTTGGCTGGGTCGACACGTCCACTGTCAACCTTTCCAACGAGTCAAATGATATTGAAAGCTTTAGCAAGAGGACTGCATTATTTCACACCTTATAAATTCATGCTCATTGGACTCTTTTTCCTAACCATGTTGGTGATGACCATTTTGTCTCACATTATGGTTCAAGCAAGTGAAGAAGAAGAGGAAAACAGTCTGCTGGTGACAACAAGGCGAGCTCCACAACAGCAACCACAATTTCAACGTTGAAAATATCATCCAATACGACAACATCTTCGTTACCAACAGATCCAAAGAAAAACAAGAAGAAAACACAATAGATCTCATTCTCATATGTTTTGATTCCTTGATTTTAGGAGATTTCACATTTTACAACGATCATGGATTCTTACAAGCTCACTTCTGTGAAGTTTCGTCTTTTAGTTGCCGACAACCCCGCGCCTGTCAGAATGATTTTTCCGTTTGGTTGCCTAGAAGCGCGTTGTCGGCAAAACAAAAAATACCTGAATTCTATCCGTGGAGTGGGAGACTTGTTTCTCATTATTGACAGCACTTCTGGAACAACAACGACACAATAAGATGACCATGAGAGGACTTGTTCGCTCCTCCCTCTTCTTGATGCTGACCGTTTTGGTCACACTTGTCGTGATTGTAGTTTCCGAGTCGCATCCACAACTCGATTCAATGAAAATCCACAATTTGATGAACATTGGTGTGAAAAATCATTTAGAAGGAACGTTCAAAGTGCACTTTTTGAATGGTGATCATGATGGAGTGATGAACGATCATCAACAATTTAAAACTGTGGATTCTGATTGGATAGGAATGTATAGAATTGAAAATGGAGATTCTTTCAAATTCTTTGCACAAAGTTTGCACTCACCACTGGCTGTCACTTTTGACGGAAAACGTATGGACCTTGTAGTTTATGTTCCTAAATCGCACAATGATTGCATTCGATTGAATTATGACATGATCGATACGACCCAAGAGACAAGCTCCACCAAGAGCGGAATTCACATGACTCTCTCAATATTTATGGAAAACATGCTGAGACCTGCATTGCTGTCAAAATGGAGAATGGAACTCAATGAAGATGGATATTTGAGTGAAATTGCTCAATGCACTGAAAAAGACTCGTTAATTTTCATCAATGATTTGAAAGAGGAAAGCAATGATGCTTTGATCGCCTGTTTCAGTAAGAAAACAAACAGAATTTACAGAATTAGATCGAGAATGGCTGAAATTGAGCTTGACACCATTCCAATGTCTACAGTCTCCTCTCATTACAGTGATTTAACCAAATCCAATTGTACAACAGTTTCTCCCAAGCAACAATTCAAGTCATTTTCTCCTTCTCAGTCTTTACTTAATTCCGAAAGAAGAAAGACCAGTGTCACCTCCACTCCATGGTACAAGATGATGAAGATCCACACTTCCACACCTCACATGAATGGAGTCATCATGATCAAGAATCCACACGCAGCACCAAATGCCACAAAAGTTTGTGTCTTTTACATGGAGCAGGCTATCGATTCGATCAAGAACCCGCACATTCGTTTTCATATTGGGGAAATATCAATGCATATACCACCCAATGCAAAGAATCATGGTTCATTCGTCGAAATACGGCCAATCGAGGATGGACTTCTGAGGAATTACAGACCTCTTACTGTGCATTAGCTCTCGTCAACAGTAAGCCAAATACGACCCTCATTACAGACACTATTATTTTCACACACTCGATGGGTAACTTGATCTTCCCAACTGCCATGTATAAGGGATATTGTGAACTCGATCTCAAGACATCGACGTGGGTTTCTTTGTCGGCACCTTTCAATGGATCAAAAGCTGCTTATTATTTGAAAACTTTGTGTTACGATTATGATCATCAATCTGCCCCAAATAGCATTCAAAAATTTTTGACTTTATTGCTGAAGTGACACAAAATTGTGATGGTGAAAATCCAATTGAGGCAGATGCAACTCTGTATCCTGATTTTTGTGATATTGACAGACCCAGTTATCGAGGAAAGAAACCCATGTGTTTGGGTTCACCAATCTTCTCTTATTCGAAACCATTAATTTCTGCAAGAATGTGCGGTTTTTCACCTATGGGACTCGTTACTTATTATGGAATTGCTTTGGAGTTATTTGCAAATTTAGTACAATATGGTGAAGCAAATGATGGTTTGGTTCCTGCTTCGAGTTGTCTCATGGACACACCAATGGATAAATTCTCTCCTACTCCAGAGAGTGCATTATATAGCGCAAACATTAATCATGCAGGTAGGTGATAGATCTTTGTGTGGAATTGAAATTTTTAAAATTTATTATTAATATTGCATATCGACAATATTGTCATTTTGTGAATCATTGAATTTATTATGTACATTTATTTTGAAATATTTAATGTGACATAAACTGCTCAGATGCCACATGTAGAAATGGTGACTCATTATTTGGAGACACCTCCAAACAACCATGTGCATTCTATTCCTTCAGAAACTAAAACATGTGAAAACATGATTCTCTCGAACGAGGAATGAAAACATTGTTGCCTTATGCAATTTTTCCAGACAACCAATCAAACCCTTCATATAACCCCTCCCCAGTGATTGCCGAGCACTCTTGCAAGTGATAATCTTGTTTAATACTTTTCAAATCCAATTCCTCTGCAATTTGAGATGCCGATAAAGCTTCTGACAAATCTTGCTTATTTGCTAAAATAAGTAATTTCACTTTTTCCAAATTTGAATTCGTTAGTATTTCATGCAGCGTTTCTCGTGCTTCCTGCATTCTTTCTCGATCTGCAGAGTCCACCACAAATATAATAGCATCCGTATTTTCAAAATAATGTTGCCACAAGGATCGAACTTTTTCTTGTCCTCCCAAATCGAAAATCAACATTTTGACATTGTTGTATTGTATCATTTCCGAATTGAATCCAATTGTTGGAACAGTGGTGACATTCTCATTCAAACCAATTTTATATAAAGTTGCTGTTTTACCAGCATGATCGAGTCCCAGAATTAAAATTTTCGAATGTTTATAACCGATGATTTGAGAGAAGAAGATTTTCGAGAGAAGGGAGCCCATGATTGACAAAATGTTTCTTGTTGTTGACAAGAGTTTCAACGAAAATTGCAAAATATTTTTTTTGATGAGAAAACAGAAAGGTTCGATCTTTTTTTGGAAGATTTTTAATGGACAATTTATGAAATCGGTTTTTATTTCATTCTGGATATGAGGAAACCCTGATCAGGGTCGCGTCAACAATTATTCCCCACTAATGTAGTAGAATCTGCTAATGCTTGCATATCCAATGGAGACAGGGCATCGATGGGATTTGTAAAATGCAGCTAGTTGATCATGTCGACAATGTCTCCTGCTGTCAAGGTCTGTATGTACCACCACATATCTCAATTTTGAAGATGCTTGACTGAGTCTAGAGGTAAATTCTGTCGCTTTTTCCCAAATATCTTGGTCTGCTCCGTAACCATGTTGATTGAAGGTAATTTCAATAGAAATTAACTGTTTTAAAAAGTCAAATTGCTCCTCTAGTGTAGTTATAGTGCTAAATCCATTCAGTACCAAATGTTCTAATTTAGGTAATGTCTTTTTGTTCAACAAAGAACGAAGAATAATTACTTCTTGTATGCCCAAATTTTTTCCATAATTTCTATAATCGTCGTCATTATATCGAACTCGTAAATATCTGACGCCTGGAAATGTTGCTCCATCAAATGAATATTCTTGAGTGGCTGTTGTTTTAGAATCGTTTCCTTGTTCCACGCTCAAAAACATGATATTCTCTGGAAATTCATAGTCCTCAAGTGGCAGCAAATTGGGAATCAGTGAAATTTGTAATAAAATAATTTTTGACAATCGATTTCTTAGAAAGTTGAAATCAATGTCCTCCTCCTTCAATTCAGAGTTCTGATCAGTTTGGGAGTCAGTTGTTATATTGTTATTGCAAAGCAATTTCTTCCAACCAGATTGCTGATAGACCATCAGACCAACTTTGGGATATTTAACATTGGGGTTATATGGTACTTTTCTAGCCCAATCAGAAGGTTCTGATATTGCTTTTTTTGAATAGTGGTCGAAATAATGATAACCAAGCAATGATTCCGAGTTGTCACTCCAATACTCTTGTCTACTTTCGGAATCGAGTGCATCAAACATGTTTAGACTCAACATGAGAGATCTGAAGAAGAATAATTCAAAAGCTGATGTGTAGCTTCTATATTCATGGCAGTAATCTTCAATACTCAATTCCAATGCGTGTAATCTCTCCAAGATGGCTTTTCTGCTCGCTTCAGCATTGTTAAATATCGGTACTTTTTCTTAGACTTTTATCATCTCCAACATTATCAGAAAGAAATTCATCATATTGCTCTTCATCATTAGCATATTCGTCTTCGAACCAATTATTATGGTCAATAGTAGCATCCAAATCACTTAATGACTTTCCTCTCTCATAATGCTGCACAATATTCTGAATTCTTCCCATTTCCTCAACAGCTGTCCTTGACAAGTCTCCAGTGCCCAATTTTAATGTTTCCAAAGTCCTAGTTCGAATCCAATAAAACAGCTTTTCGAAAAAGTTGTATCCATTCAACCAAAACAATTCAAAATCAGTCAAGTGATCGTCATCTCTTTTGGAGGTGATCATTCGATTCAGTTCTTTGTTTGTCTGCATTAATTTCACAAGAGCAACAAGATTTTCATACGGAATGAGGAATGACTCAATATCTGACGATAAATAACTTCTTTTGTATCGATTTCGTTGCTCCTTATCAGCATTTGGATCAATTTTTGTGACATCAATTTTTTTGTAGAGCTCAAAATCTCCAACCAAGAAAGTCAAAATGTGTTGAAATATTTCATTAGGTAATTCGGATAAACATCCAAATAATGATTGATGATAATCGGAGGAGGTGTTCGTGGTCTGATCTTGATATTCTCTTTCATATGGAATACAAATGGTTTTCAAACTTTTATAAGGTGGAACAATATAACTGCTGTTGCTGCTAGTACTACCAACTCCGGTGCTACTAGAATGATTCACTTCACTTTCAAACTCAGCCTTCCTCTTGGGTTGTACCTTTGTCATGACTTGAGCCGCTTCCGTTGATTTTCGGGCGGTTTGTTTGGTCCTCGCCATCAAGTGTTGATCAATTTTTTCAATATTTTACAATTTCCAAAAGGTTGATTGTTTAAATTGAAAAGTTGGTGATTATTAATATTAATTCTTTTTCTTGAATTGATCTATATATATATATTGGTGATTATTTCACGAGCATGAATAGAAAATGGAGCGCTCCGATTGACACATACAGATGAAGAGTAAAACAACCTTCATTACAAAATCAACATTTTGAACAATTTCAACAAAACACTGATCTTTCAATCTTCGTTGAACAACACTCGGAGAGCGTGAAAGAGTAAGCTATAGTGAACGTCTTCCGTTGAGTCCTTCTGATTTTCAAATTTTAAGAATAGGTATCATCATACATGATACGTACCTTTGAATGATGATTCACAACTTTTCAACATTCACTTTTGGGTAACGCTCTTGCAATTTCTATTTTGGTGATATTCATTACTCATTTTCGATTTGGACTTTGGCGAAATTCATCATCTTTACATCTTCAATGATCCATGTTCTGTTATTGAGTAACGTTTTCTGAATGGATGACCATGATGAATCCATGAACACAAATGCTCAACATTCTACAAACAAATACTAAGGATGACGTTCAATGTCCTATGAAGAAACCTCATTTCCTTTTATATCAAAAATATCCAAAAACTTTTAGCAATTAGATATCACCACGACTTCTACTTTCTTTATTTATGTTTGCTTTTCAGAAGATAGAAATGCTGAATCACACTTGTCACTCAATTCCTGGATGAATTTTCTAAATTCATCAAATCATGAATGATTTCTGATTGTATTGGAGTCCGACTTTTTACACACCTCTATACAATGGCAGAATTCGTTTAAAACGTTCATCTCCACAACCACACTCTTCCACATCGTCCACTTAAAAACGAACAAAAGCAATTTGCTGCATTCGCTCTTGTCACTTGCCAATTTTCACACAATGAAATTCTCTCAAACACAGCAACAACCAGACGTTGTGATTGCAGTCATCCTTGCTTTTCTCCTTCTTTCCTCCTTCTGTTTGTGTGCACAGTTTGATTCCAAAGTCTCAGGAGGTACCTCAGCCACTGATAATGAATTTCCACACATGGTCAGCATTCAATACTTTTCAAGTCCAACCGCCACAGGAATTCACTATTGTGGGGGAACTTTGATTTCTCCCAAACATGTCGTTACAGCCAGTCATTGTGAAATTGGTCTCACGATGGATAAGATTCGAATTGTGATGGGTTCCTCCAGCAATGTGTGTTCCTCAAATCTTGCAGCTTCCCAGAAATGCATCATGAGAGGTGTCACCCGTTTCACTAAACATCCCAACTATGATTCGAGTACCATCAAGAATGATATTGCAATCATTGAATTGGATCAACCTGTTCCTTTGGATGGATGGCGAGTCACGTCAGCTGTCGTCGAAGGATCTACCATTCCAACCAATACACAGGTGTATATTGCAGGTTGGGGAAGAACCACTTCTTCCTCGAGTGTGACCAATTTACAAAAGCTCAAGTTCCAGTCTCACCTGCATCGGTGTGTAATGCCAAGAATTTGGGAATGACCACTCCGCAACAAATTTGTGGTGGAAATGGAAATGGAATTGACACTTGTGGAGGAGATTCTGGTGGACCATTGTTTAGAAAAGTAGTTCCACAAAGTGGATTACCAATTTTCGTGTTGGCTGGTGTGGTGAGTTATGGACCTCCTGGATGTGGTGGATCAAATGTGGGTGTTTATACCAATGCCACTCATTATTTGGATTTCATTAGAAGTCAAGTGTCTACTGGAACTCAATATACTGTTGCAACACTTGCTTATGGAGCTCAACAGCCTTCTCAACCAACTCCTCAACCATCTCCAACACCAGTCACACCACAGCCAACTCCAAAACCTTCCCAACAATCATGCAAGTGCAAATGCTATTGTAAGAAATTACAAGCTTTGAGAGAAGGAAAATTGAGAGGAAATTTATGGATGACATCTTCCTCTGCTTCATCAAAACCACAACAGGATGAAAACAAAGCAGTAGAAGTGCAAACAGAGTGTAGTACCAATTCCAAGTGTGAAACACATGCTTTGAATTCTTCTGCATCTCAAGTTGGAACCAAAGTGGCATTGATTTTCTCATTGTTAGCGATTGCTTTTGTTTTTTGGTAATCATTTTGTTTTCTCGTGAACAACAACCACCAAACTTTTCACACAACAATTTTGACCTATACTATTAAAAAGATAATAGTAAACGCACATGAGAAGCAAGAAAACCTTCTTCTCAACCATTGTAACAACCATTCATACATGTACACTTGAATTATTAAAACAACAAGTAACCTTAAATCATGTTCATAATCTCTTTCATTTACGCTTGATTGTTTATTTCTGATTTTTTATGCTTTGAAAAGAGTTTGGTGACATGGCGTTTTAACCACGAAGATGGTTTTGCCAAAAGCCAATACATGACCAATAACTTGGTCAACACAATTATTAGAATTACGAAAATTACACCAAATTGTGTGATCAGATAGGGAAGCAATAATTCTCTCAATCCTTGAAGACTCTGTATGAAGGTGACATTTTCAGCACAAGTATCTTGCTTGGCGTTAAAGAGAATGGATGTGAACACCAATGTCAAGGAGAACGAAACAATTCCAGTAAAAACTCTACATGTTGTCAAAATGTTAGACGCCAGGAAAAATCGATTTTTCTTACTTTGTGTCACAATGACTGGCTTTCTTCCTCGAAGATTATTACCACTCAAATTATTGAGATTTGAAGGAGGAGCTAAATTGCTCATATAACTACCTGTGGTTCTCGCTGAATTTCGATTTCGTGCTGAAGATGGTTCTGCTTCTAATGTATTTGAACCTGCGGTCGTCGATGTGATATTAAATTTTGCAGTGCTTTGACTATCCATTTCCACACTTATCCTCATGGTGTTATTCTCAACCCCGCCGACATTAAGACGAGAATAAAACTCTTCATCCTCCACTTCGGTCATCAAAAATAATTTTCTTCCAGCATTGACCAATGCAATTAAAACTAAAGCCACGGAAGCAATGGACAAGATGGTTGCAATAAGGTCACTCACCGATACAACTACCACAATATTAAATACCAATGAATTTAAATCGGAAAAGTTACAAGAAGCTGTTGAAGAAGTATTAAAAGTATTTTTCAAAGCTTGATTTTCAAATACAGTCCACCGTATGGAATGTAGTAGCGACAAGTACTCTTGAGGCTTTTCCAAAAATTGCTTAATATTATTCAATAAATTATTTACAACAGTTGCTTCCATATGATCCGAAAAATAATTATTGCCCACTCTTGCTTTCGGCAGATTTATATATTTTGTAAAATAAACTAATCCCCAAATTGCCAATCCTAACGAACATGTGATTATAAATAAATCAACAGAAATTGAAAATATCGATGGTTTAAGTTGAATGGATGATTCAAAATCGACTGAAGATGTTACAGAAGCAACAGAAAATCGTTTTGGATTTGTTGGTTCATCATGTTGCTCTTCTACGGATGGACGGTCTTGTTCCGAAATGATGATGGGATTGTGGTGTCTGTAGGGAATACGTTGTTGTTGCTGTTGTTGTAGATTCGGATGTGCTTGTTCAATAAATAAAGAATTGGATGAGGAATTCATGGTGGTGAGGGATTGGTGAGATGAAGAAAATGTTGTGAGCGTTCGGAGAGAATTTTATTGCAGTCTCTCCAACAAGTCTTGTTTTCGTATTTTTTAAAAAAATTTAAATAAATGTTAAAAAAAAGGAAAAGATGAATGTTGTTTTCATTTTCATTCAACTTTGGTTTCAAAAATATTTGATGGCACGAATAATTTCACGTTTGCTTCTTTTTTAATAAATGGAAGCAGTATTGCAAACGGTTCCACAAGCAACTTTTCTCTTCTTGTATCCAAACAAAGGTCGTACCACTGCTCCAATATATCCACCCAGCAGAGCCATGGTTATCCATGAATAACCATGAATGGACATGCATGAGACACCAGAAAAATAAGCTCCAATGTTACAGCCATATCCAAACTTTGCTCCAATACCCATACAAATACCTCCAATAATTTTGGCAATAGCAATTCCAATGTTATTCTTGAGCCAATTTCCAATATTATTCAAAATTCGTTTCAAAGTTGTGAAAATGGATGATGAGTGATCACCTTGTTTGTGACTCTTAAACGTATGAGATAAGCTCTTCAGTGAAAATCCATCTAAAAACTTGGGAATTTTCCTCGTAATAATCCAACAATTAAGGCTCCATAGACAATTCCAAAATCAAGAATAAAATTCGAATTGAAGAGCATATTGGCCTTCCTTAAATCAATATCTTTCCATGCCGACCATTTTGGAACATCAAGTGAAGGAGCAATAGCATCCAAAATTTTACAACCAATAATGGCGAAGGGACCTGTCAAACCCATGGGATGTTGCGTAGCTAAAAGAAAACAAAAGTTTAACAAAGCCAATGCAATCGAGCCACTAATTAAATCCTGAAATTTTGAAATTTAAGGTATTGTTGTGTGAAATATTCTCCCTTACAAGATGCACTTACCCAAGGTCCATAAATAAATCTAAAACAATCATTGACACAAATGACATTAATTTTTGAAGTGGTGAGCGAGTATCAATTTCATAATCTTGATTAATGAGCCCAGATTGTTCTTCTGCATCTCCACTCAAATCCATCTGGTTTTTCTTGTTTTTCTTCTGTGGTAAAAATGAATAGCAGCTGCAATGGACACTAAAATGGTTATTTGTGTCAGCATCATAATGACTGCAATCAAATACTCAAGCCATGGGTTTTTTTCAAAGAACATGATACCAAAGGCCTTTCTCAAAAATGTTCCTGGAAACAATAAACTCAATCCTGCATGATTTTTAAACCCAATATTCCAATCTCCAGCACTTTGTAATGCAGTAGCAATTACTGAACCACACACAAAGAACCTTTTTGTATCGTTGAAATAAAAATGGAAATCATATCAGCAGCACATGTTGTTGTGGTTAATGATTAATTCCATCGTTAGCATGCGGTTGTTGTTGTGCTTAATAATTAACCATTTAAATTTCAATTGATATATAAACTTACACCAATAAATAGACACTCCATAAACTTCCACCCCCGATAGTGAACAAAGTACCTGAGGCACAAGCATCACCAAGCTGCATTCCTATTCCGAACAAGAAGCCTCCAATCACAATAGAAATTGTCATGGGAGAAGCCTCTGGAGAGTACATGTGCCATCCAGCAGCCTTATCAATGATATAGAGCATGGAGAAGAGGAAGGTAGCCACCGCAAGCATGATGCAATGAGCTTGCATAGTCGAGTATTGCGGAAGAGCTTTATCGGGAGTGAGAATAATTTCCTTAGGTGGTTGTTCTTTTTCTTCATCACGATGAGGATTAGACACTGCTTCTTCCTTCGTTTGGCCTTCGTGAATGAGTTTTTGAGTATCATCATCCGATGAATTTTGAATTTTCTTGATATCCACCAACTCATATTGTTGTTTGTAAAACACTCGGAAGTGAGCTCCGAACCCATATGAAGACTGAACGAGAGCATAGCCAAATGCAACCGAAATAATCATCACAAAGCCAAGACGCCACGTCGAGGCTCCTTTCAAATCATGACCTGCAAAGTAGCCGATAGAAAAACCAACCACGGAGAGAATGATGAGAAGAGCAAGAAGGAAGGAAACTCTTCTCCTCCATCCTTGGAATTGTTCTTTCCAATTCACTTGCGACGATGTTATCGTTGTAAAGAAATCGAAACAGCTCAACAATGACATTTGGATTTCTTTGGTGTGAGGAATTGCGGCGATTTTTTGTTTTCGTTTTTAATGAAATTTCCTTTCATCCAAGTGTTTTTAAGCGACATTATAATGTTATCCTGTTGAAGAGATAGTTGAGTGCTGTTCGGGTTAAGAGTTCAACCTTATTTTACATCTCATCTCACCATGACTATGTGGTTATGCCCATTATTCACACAGCTTGTCACCTTCAAAGAAGAAACCTCAAGAAGACATAAAGTTCACATGGTCAGTGTGATCCACATGTATAGTACCTCTTGGAAAAAGAAATGAACGAAATAAGGAAATACTCGCAAGAAAAAATTTTGCCGCCATTTTTCAGTACAATTTTTTTTAAAAAAATTCATGCAACAACCACCTCAACGATTGAAGCCTATTTCAGCAAAAGGCGGTCCAAGACAGGACGCTTTAGTCTCTAATCAGAATAATAATAATGGAGGAATTGTTTCTGCAAGAAGGGTGAAAACAGCAGGAGCTCCTCTCGAAAACCTCAAACTCCGAGAGGAAATAATAGCAGTCAACGAGAGGTCACTCCGAGAGAGCATGCCTCGAATCAAGAAGAAGTCCTCCCTTCCCAGAGTTTGAACGATAATAATCCAATGAATAGCAGAGGTGTCGTTCAGTTAGTGGATGCATCATCTGCGTTGTCGGTTTCCTCGGAGATGGACATCATCGCAGAAGAAATTGAAACGATATCAACAAATGAAGAATATAGATCTCAACCCAACGATGTTTCATTAGATTCAAAGGTGTCAAATATTGAAAAAACTCTTTGCAGCAACAAATTATCGTCGCAAATTCTGACAGAACTTGGAGAATTGCAAGACGAAAATACCGACACGTTTATCGATGAAGAGCACGAATTGGAAAAGAAGAAATTGATTGTGTTGAAAGACCTGCAGAAAAAATACCCGCAATTCAGTTCACTTCGAGACCAACCTCTTCTTGTGCCGTTCAAACCTCTCGCCGATTCAGCTCCAACAACCCCAACACCTATACCACCAAAAGCCTCCGAAGATGAAGAAGAAGGAGATGAGCAAGAAGAGGATGGTGATGAAAACGAAACAAAAAAACAACAAACAGTGACATCACCCACAACAAACGAACAACAGCAATATGAAAAACAACAATACGAAAGGTCGATTATGGGAAACGCCACTCTGGCTGAAATTTTAATGGAATTGGAATTGGAAAAAGTGGAAAAGAAGAGAGACGAAATTCTAAATGCCAAATCATCAATTTTAACATCATCTGCAGCTACCACTTATAACTTCAGTTCAATATCATCGGATTTACAGAGAAAATCTTATCTTGACTATCGCAAAGAGAGAAACGAAACTCTACTACAGCTCGAAAAATTACCCACAGTATCTTTCAAAGAGCCTTCTCACATTTCGGCTGAAAAACAATTGAATTTTTGTTTGGAAAAGAAAAATACCAAGGCCTATATGGAAAATTTTGTCTTGTCTTTTTACAATTACTGGAAAGAAGTTCAAAAATTACAATGTTACAAAGTCATTACAAGATGGCAAAAATTTTCAGATCGTTCGGACATGATCGTCAGAGCAGAACCTATGCTTCAATCTAAATTGTCAAGAATTCAGAAGGAATATGAACATTCTTGTTCGAGACTGAAAGAAATTTCTTCAGAAATTCGATCTAATCACCCAAAGAATATTATCAAAGTCACTGACCTTCAGACAATTATCCGAAAACAACTCTATGATGCTCGGGCAAGAAGAAAGGTAGATCAATTTTTGTTAAAATCCAAGTGGCTGCCGTACTCTGAGAGAAGAACATTATTTAAAAAAGCTTTTGATATTCCAAATGTACAGACCGATGCAAGAGCTCCAGGAATATCTGTCGTTAAATCAGAGATAGAAGAGCAGTTGGAAACGCTAAAAGATTGTGTCGAAATGAAAAAACTTCCCTCTGAAGAGACAGGTCAAGAATTTTTATACCTTGTCAGAAATAAGTTTGATGCAATATTTAAAGCTCAATCTGCAAAGCTGAAGGTTTTACCCTATCCTTACAAAGAAAATGTAAATAACGACAATAGTGGTTTAGGAGGGGAGAAGAAAACAGATTTGGCGTCAGATACTTTCACTTATTTGAAAGAGTCTACTTGGACAAATGATCCTTCTTACAAATCTTCAAAAGTTTTTTTTCCTCCTCAAGATGCATTTGAGCAAAAACAAACTATATTAATGACCAACGATTTACGAATTGATCCACAACTTCAAATAGAGGCTGGGTTTTTACACACTACAGAATTACAGTATGCAAGAAAACGATTGAAAGATCAAGCAGATTCTCATTTCAAAAGAGCAAGAGTAGAAGATGAAGTTCAGACCTATCTTGAAGAAGGATATATAGCTGAGCGAAAGTTACCTCATAACAATGAAGAAGATTCCAATGTGGAGGGGAAAGCGATTCAGAATAAGGTCGCAGCTTTATACTTGCTCAGATTCATAAGAGTGCGTGAGTTTAAAAGAAAACTATTGGACATTCTTAATTACTTTAGATCCATAGAAAAACGCCTTTATTTTGACCATATTGGATATTTAGCAACAACCGAAAATGCCAGTTCAAGTTTTATTAGAAAATTTTTCGTTTCTTCTGACGATTTAGAAAAACTTGCTTCTACCGACTCTCTTCCTCTTAATGCAACCTTCAGAGATGATAAATATTCTCTTCATTTGAAGCGGGATGTGGTAGTGAGAGATGCAAATGGACTTAAAATTATGTATGATGCTGCTCTAAAAGATTATGAATTGCTAGAAGAACGTCTACTCAAAATTGGATCGTACTTTATTGAAAAAAACTTGTCATCTTTTCCTAAACTTCAAGTTGACAGATTTGTGGTTCTTGAAGGATTACTCGAAAGTGAAACATGGTTCCAAGACTCTAAGCGTAAAGTCATTGATTGTTACATGGAAGCGTATGAACATTGTTACGAACCAAAGGAACAATTACGCTTGGCAAGCGCAATCATGCAAATTATGAAAAAAACTCCAAAGTTTAATTTAGAAAGCCACTATTTTTCCGAAAGTTATGCGTCAGAAATTATTTGCTTAGAATTATATCATAGTTTACTGAAAGACATTCTCAAGGAGCAAATTAGGGATGAAAAAGATTATCTTTCATTCATATACGAAGCAATTGATCCGTCAACCGAAAGAAGTGGATTTCCAGATAATGTAACTTTGGATAACTTTGCACAAACAGAGCTCTTTCCTGGATCCTCTAAAGTGGGATTTCTTGATTTTTATACATCAACAAGCATCATTGGTCGGATTCATGAACATCTAGAAAAAGCTGTTAACAATATTACAAACTCATTTAAATTTAAGAATGTTTTGTCTTTGAATGCTGTACGACGATCTGTCTTGCAGCAACTGATAGTGGAATGGAAATTAATTGCTAAGGAGGAAAAGATCCAAAAGGCAATTAAAAGTAAATTATCAGAAGAACGATCTGCAATTGAAGATACCAACATTTTAGAAGATCCCAATGAGTTGATATTTTTATTGAACACTGTAATAGACACAGAGAAAATGCCAAAGCATAATACCGATGATCAAGAAAACATGATCACAAGAGATACGGAAGGAGGATTCTCCATGGCAGAGAAAGACTCTATACCGCTCCAATACTTTTCGAATTTAGTTGAAATGATCACCATCTGGAAACATTTAACAAAAGAACTGTTGGAAACAGACATTCTGACCGCTATCTTTAATTCACAAGCCACTCTTGTTGGTACAGCACAACAGTCAATGAACTCAGCCCTTGGACCTCTCAACTTTGACACCAAGGATGCTTTGAATGATTCTCAGCACTCATTCCCTGAAATGAAAACACAGTACCTTACCAACTTGGCGATCGTCGAGTTCGATAGCTCAATGGCAGAAGCCAATTTCAACTCTTTTGATGGCATCAAACGATTAGTTGGATTAGTCGGACTGTTCGAGTTGAGACATCTGTATCAATATCAAATGCTGCAAAAAATTCTCTACGAAACCGCTGTAAAATATAATCAGACGCCGCTCGACGATTATTATGTGGCCCAAGAAAAGAAAGAATTCTTTGTGACATCAATGAACACTCAAAATGACACATCTCAATATATAACAAAGGAGGTTCTTCAGGAGTTATTCTTGACATTCAATAACATGAAAATACCCATACGTCAAAGAATCCTAAAGGAATACCAAAAGTTGTCCGAAGGTATTATCAAAAGCAAGCGAGCGAATGTAGTTAGAAAATATCTAAGAGATCTCAAATTCAGACTTTCTGCGAGTTTTTGTACATCAATGCTGTCGACTATTCAACCTTATATTTTAAAATGCGATATTATCGATGTAGTTAGAGAGCTTAGAGCTACATTAGGCGCCGTCTCAGTTGGCAGTGGATTTTGATTGGTAAACCAGATCACAACGTTCAAATTTCATCACACGGCGTAGTCTCGAAGAACAAAGATGATCATGCAAACAAATGCGTTATGGCAAAAGATGGAGAGGTTGTGAATGTTACCTATGTTCCTCACTTTATTCAAATAATGAGAACTTCTTTCATTCAGGCCAACGAGGAGGAAAACACAATGACAGACAATTTCTATAACTTATTGCAAATATTACAACGTACCTTCATCATTTTGAAATTTTGGGCGATCAGTATTCAAGCAACTGCAAAATTGTATGATATTATCATCAATGAAGGATATGGATTGGAAAAAGGTTTAGAAACCTATTGCAAGTCTTTGACTTCGGAGCTTGAACACTTGAGACAGCCAGAAAATCCAGCCTCCGTTATTAGTTATTTGACATTGAAATGTGAAACTCTACTTTTAAAATATATTCTTATTCTGGACAACTTGAAACATAAATTAAGAAAGGAAGGAATGAGATCGTGTATGATTGCTGAGAATTATTTACAAAGTATTACCCATGAACCCATAGAAGACAACCTTTCAGAATCAGATGTATATGTTATTTCTCCAAAGCATCTCGATCAAGAAAAAAGAGAAAAATATACGGGACTCGATGCGAGTAACCAAAATATATTACCTCTCAAATGCTTAAACAATCTACTATTAGAGTTGCATGATTCTGAGAGAAATTACTTTTCTGCTGAAGATGCAAATGTCACTTTGTACATGGAAGAGTTGTTGACTGAAGAAAAAGTTTATCCTAACAGCATGCCTGAGCAAGCTGTCAAGATGCAATTTGATTTCTTGAAGACATCTGTGTTGATGTACAAGCTGAGGGACTATTTTTTAGACCTTAGCTGCAATGGATCAAAATTAATGTTGCAAGATGAGGCAAAAATGGAAGACTTGTACAATCACATTATTTTCAAAAAAGCCAAAAGAATTTATGAGAAACAGCTGAAAGGACTCATTTCAACCTTAGAGCAAAAATCAACAAATGACATCTATGATATGGCTATTCAACAAAAGGCAAAGAAGAAAAAAAGAAAAAAGATCTTAGAGACAAGCAAGTGTCTATATTGTTTCAAGAAATCTCTAAACTTCTCATTTCCAAGTCTATACAAGATATGAAAGAAACATATGCAATTCTCAAGAAAGAGCTTCATGAAATGGAACAGCCACCATTGCATACTGAGAAAGATTCATTCGAAGATTCGAAAGTACAGATATTTCATTCATTTTTGAATAGGATTTTGACAAATGCTGGAAAAACTAGCTCCAAGAATGGAGAAGCTCAAATAACGATCAATGAAAAGGACCTAGAGAAAGCGTTGGAGGAAGTTGGACAGAAAATTCAAGAGTGGAAGACTGAGTACATTAGATTTTTAGAGTATAAATCATATGAGGTGATTGACCACTTGAAACGAAGTCTATTCACATCAGAGCAAAAAGTCAAATTTTTACTCTACAAGAGAGATGTAGACAGAAAATCATTGAAGCGCAGAATTGACGCGGAAGTGGATGACAAAAATTATGATTTGGTGTTTCTCGTGAATAATATACTGTGGAAAAATAAGGAACTCGAACATCAGCTAAAGGAGGTAAAATCGCAAGTTCGAAATGAATTAATTCATGAATATGAGGACCTTGTTAGAAACTTGTACAAGGAGCTCGTTTCAACAAATGGCAAAGTTGCAAAATTCAAAAAAGATTTTCTTCAAAATCTTGATCAACGGTTTTATGAAGTACGTGAGAACACATTTTTCGAAATTGCCACGCAGAAAGATATTGGAGATGCCTCATTCAAAAAGAAGGCGCTCGAAGTAGCCATGGAAGATAGCGAATTGAACAAGTTGAGACGAGAGAATGAAGATCTTAAAGTACAGCATACACAGTTGCAGTCTCTCTACAAAATTCGACTCATCACTCTTCAATCAAAATATGAAAAGTTAATATTGGAGGCAGAGAAAAAGAGGGATGAAGCTCTCAAGGATTTCTATGCCAGTAAATATGAAGTTGGGCTCAGAGAAAATCAATTGAGACAAGAATTATTGAAAACACAACAACAGCTCAGTAACGCAGAGATGGAAGTTGAGCAATTACGAAAAGATCTTCAACTTCAAATCAAGAACAAACAAAAATTAGTGAATTGGAAAGTTAAAAATGCACAATTACTGGAAGAGTTAGAGGAGAAGGTTGAAAAGTATGAAAGATGGAGTCACACCAATGTGGATAAACTTTTACTCGAGCTTGAAGAAAAGAAGAGAGAAGCAGGACATTATGAAAAGTTGAAGGAGCGTATGAAAGAAAAAACCAATGCCATCGATTTCAAGAATCAAAAGACCATTGAAACTCTGAAAAAGAAATTAGCAAAAGAACAAGCCATGAAATCCAAACTCATGGAACAGCTCGAAAGCATGAAAGAAAATTATGAAGAATCCTCCTGGCAAGCGAAATATTGGCAACTCATGAATGAATTGCAACAAGTTCAAAAAGAAAACGCCTCTCTCAAAATCATGCTCGAAACAAAGACCTCTTTCACTGAGCCGAATGTGGATTCTGAACTTGAAAATCCACCCATCGTCAATTTGGACGGTAACAATGCTGTGGTTCATACCACTCCCTCACCTCCAAGCTCTGGAAGAAAGACGGCCTCTCCCTCCACTCTATTGAGGCCAATATCTGAGGGAGACACTCCTGCTGCCATGTTTCTCATTGAGAATGCACCAAAGAAGAGGCCTTCCACAGGAGCCGTTCGAGCTAGAGCTGCAAATAATAACAACAATGCGCAGAACCAAACATCCACCATCATTCAACAACAACTTCAACAATTCAAGAAAGTCATGACTCAATCCAATGCGAGCAGTATTACCAATCAATCCACTCCGAGCGCACGACCTCTCACAGTGCTTCCTACGTATGGAAAGGGTATGTTTGGAGGAATGCCATTGCAGCAAAAACGAAGAGCCATGTCTGCAGGAACCAAAACTCGAAAGCATCAGTCCCAACCTTCAACCACCACCACCACCACAGCCTACACCTCACCTACGACGAACATGGTCTCTGAATAACTAAAAGCCACACACTCTTCCTCTTTGGAAAACTTTTTGATCTTACTAAATTGTAAACAACCCTATGACTTTGTTGTGCAATCAAATTGACATGAATGAGAGGGCGATCCTTAACACGAGTACTGCATGCAGTACAGGGGTATTTCAGAATTAGGTTGGTACATTTGATTTTTTTGAAAAATGGAGATGAAAAAATGCTTTCCTTAATACCCATCGACACACGGGCGATAAAACAACCAAGAACCAAGAATGTTGCTGTGTTCTCAATTGTGGTCGTTGTGATGATTTTTGGTTTTCTAATGGTTGAGGGGAGCATAGGGGAACTGGTTCCTCCTCTTCATGAAATTGTCCTTCCTGGGGCTTCCGCCAATTCAAGAACTATTTCTTCGCTACTGATGGAACGTAAAGACCAAATCATGATTCATGCCTATAATTTTACTCTCAATCACGAGTATATGTACTCTTCCTTTCTAAGCGGAAATGAATCAACTCTGTACATCATTCATATGAACTCAAGCACGAGCCAAATTACCGTTTCTCTCGATATTGTACTCAAATCCAATAACAACAGAAATTGCTCGTTATGGATCGGAAACGGAAATCAACCTCCGATCCCTCATCGAGCGTTTGAGAGCCGTTTGCACCACAAGCATTCTGCCTTCCGACTGAGTGCTCCCAATGTGAATGATGCCAGCACCGCTCTGACCACAGTGTTCGTTTTGGTGGCCAACGAATCACCGACATCTTCTGCCACTTCTTCTCTGGTGGAATTTGGTCTCACCATAACCATTTCTCAATTTGCTCTGAGAGGAGGTACCATTGCCTTTCTGGTCCTTCTCGGAATTGTCGTGATTGGAATAGCTCTGTTGTTGGTGGTTGTTGCTCTTGTTCATTGCACTTCGAAACGTGTCCAAGTATTGGAAACGCACAACCAGCAACAACAAGAGGACTCTCGCAACAAGATTGAAATGACACCGATCCACTATCAAAAGATGACTGATGAAGAAGAGGTCTAATCTTGACTCTCTAATGTGAGTAACATTCGCGTGTGTTCTTAAGTGCTTGCATCGCCTCCGGTGATCCTGTTATTGTGGATGTGCCTTAATAAAAAATGCTCACCACCCCATCCAAAGCAATTACTCTTCCACCCTCCTCATCGGCAACGCCATCCTCCTCGTGTTCTTCTCTTTCCATTCATCAGGAACATCAAGAGGAAGGGGACATGTTGCTGAGAAGAGTGGTTGCATCTAATTTTGTTGGAAACGGAACTCCACCTCCTTCTCCTTCCAACAGTAGCGAAAGTAAGAAAAAAAACAAGACCAGAAAATTTACATTCAACGTAATGGACTCTCCAGCAGAATCTTTTTCTTCGTCGGATGGTCTTTCTTCATCTCAACGATTGGACAAGTTGAGGTCATTGAGTATTTCAATGGAACAAGATAAGGTTCAAGAGGTTGAACGATTGATCGTTGATCATTCTCCAAAAGGAACAAATACGCAGTGTGTCAAATGGAATCTTGGGATGCAATCGGATCAAAAGCAAAAAGACCATTATGGGCACCGTCCTTGCTCACCAATCCTCGAAACAGACCGAAATCCAAGTCATGTCCTGCAGATTACGTGGTCAGCTTTGACATGGGAGAAAGTCAAGGAGTTGTTTCCAGTCATGTCTTAGACCCCTTGGAACATGGCTTTGTACACAACAATGAAAAGAGAAAAGAATTAGCAGAAAAGCTGCTATTGAAATCACAGGGTTTGCATTTCAAGCCCATTTCCAAATTTTTCAAGTCACATAAGGGTGTTCGTGAGGAATCTCTATATAAGCATTCACAGCCCTCCCAAGAGACTCTAAAAAACGGGGAAATTATAGGGGGAGGAGTGAATGACGTACTGAGCAAAACCATTGAGGAAGAAATTCAAGAAAATGAATGTTGCAATTATGAAGAGCTATTAAGAAAAGGTTTCTATCTTTATTTGGGTGTTACAGCCGATTTAAGTATTCTAAAAAACACTTTTTTGAAAGAAATTCCAGATGATTCCTGCATGAAACTCGATAACCAGGAGTGTGTTGAACCGTTTCGCTTAAACATAGCACTTTCCATTGATTACGAATTCAGAACATCGTATTTTTCTGTTGTTTCTCACGACTCCTTTTTGGTTAAGGGTTTTGTTGAAACTCTTTCTTCGTTTCCTACCAATACAAACGAGCAGTTGAAATTCATTGAAAACGCGTTTGAGAAAGATGAATACAATAACATGAAAATGAAACGCTTGTTCTCGATGAAACGCCAAGATTTCCCACCTTCTCAATTTGTTTCTTGTGATAACGATATTGAGCGGTCCATATTGCATTTTGGGACAGTCCACGGACAAACAGCAGAATGTGTATTTGAAAGAAAAAACAACCAGGAACGATGGCCCTTTAGTGAAAGTATTAACAGAGTGAGAGCTGTGCTTATATGTAACGATAATCTTAGTAATCAGTACATTTCTCGTGGAATGTGGCAACTGATTCATCTCTTTGAAATTGAGGATATATTGGATTCCGAAGTGCAAGCTCCTCTTTCCTCCGTGAGGGAAGAGAAATCGATGAATGCACCAGAAATGGGCACCCAGACGACAGAAGAGATAATTTTAGGTGAGTCTTGTAGTGAGGATTTACAAGATGTGAGCAATGCAAGTCCACACCATCTTGACCCAATGATCGAAAAAGAAGTTCACAAGGAAACAACCTCCGATCAAAGTGCACTTCAAGAGAGTGAAAAGACTGACTTGTTGTTGAAGAATGCCATGTGCGACCAGACCACAGTGGAAAATCATACAGATACCTTTGATTTACAATCAACCTTAGAGTTGGTACCGTACAATATTGATTGTTTTTCAGAAAACCTTGACCAAAATTCAAAAGAGGAGCCCACAACTGATAATGAGACGTCGTTTATACCAACAGAAGAGAAACATTTGGAAATGCCCGTATCACCACCTCCATTAATGATTGCCAATAAGGAGGATGAGCAAAACGAAGAAGATTCAATAGAGGTATTGTCAAAAGAAAACGTTCCTGAGATAATTTCCCGCAGAACAGGAGACTCATTTGATGTTGACAGGAGCGACCAAAAAGAAGAGTCCTTTGAGGTTGGAATCTCAAAAGATAAGAATGAGCAAGCTGAGGATCGAGTGGAGTCACCCCACCCAACAAGCAATAGTCAAAAGCAACACAAAGCTCCCATTAAAAAGAAGAAAGGAAATAGACGCTATGTGAAACATCCTACTCTTTTCAAGTAAAGGCTCTTTTCCTCGTATCGAAACAAAGTCGGTGTTTTAAAAACCAAAAAAAAAGTTCTCCCAATAGTCGTTCTCGTCACTCTTCGTCGGATTCAGAAATTGAAATTCATCTACTAGCTCATCTCCTCTTCATCAGAATTTCAACTGAATTTTTAAATTGCACATCATCATCCTCTCCTATTGAAGGAGAATACAATTCTATATCAGCATCATCACCAAATATATGCTCAAGAAATTTTTCGGCAGTGTAGCCGATAACAAGAAAGATCTCGAACACTTTGCGATGAAAGAACTGAATGATGATTTTCCTCCTGGTGCTTCATCGTCTCCCACAAGCATGCCGAATACAGAATCTCCAACAAACAGCACCAACAATAATGTAAAACCATTCAACAACATAATTAATAATAATAATAATAACAACAAAACTTCGTCTCCTTTTTCACCTAGAACAACAACAAATTTTCCCTCACAACAACAACAACTTCATCAACTCCCACCCACCATTTCTACTAGCACTGCCAAGTCCTATGCAAGCACTCCGACGACTGCCACAACACCCAGTGATCTTCAACGAAGGATTTCTCTTGCACTCACTTCATCTCAACAACAGAAGGAATCACCGACTGCTGCTCATATTTTGCTCACGGAAAGAGGAGCTTCTATGCTTCACCTTTCTGCTCATCATCATAGAAATTCATCATTGTCAAGTTTGTTGGATAGTAATGGTAATTTATTAGAAACCCTTTCTGCAGCAGACGATGAAGTTAATGGGATGAACAACAATGAAAGCCTCACCAACAATCCAACAACTAACACGGGTAGTGGTAATTTGAAATTACCAGAACTGGTTGGTATTGCTCCAGGTAGTCCCGATTTGTTAGAGGCTTTTGTGGCAGCCGAGAGTGATAGCGATGATGAGGAAGCAATGACGCCAAGAGGTACATTCAATGGAGGAGCCTCCAAGAATGGCAGTAATAATGAACAACAACAATCACAAGACGACAACGGTATCAACACTCCAGTGCTCAAAGTAGATCGAACAGACACTTCCGAGCAAAATTCATCAGCACAACAAACTCTATCAACAAACTCTCTTTCGGGATTAACAATAGGTTCCAGACATTCATCCAAGGATGCACTGGCCTCTGTAAGCACTCCCATGAGTGCCCGAAGTTTGGCCTCCATGTTAGATCAATTCATGGATGATCACTTGGCTTCTCCAAATACCTCAAGTTTTATGATGGTTGAGAGTGGAGAACGAAGATTGAGCTTGGATGAGACACAAACAAGTTCATCATCTAAAATTGATATTGAGCCAGTTCCAAGAGCATCTTTGGATAACAGTTCTACCGGAGTTTCTAAAAACAACGGCCATTTCCCAAAAATTCATGGCTCTGCATACCTTCAAAATGAAGAGGTATCTACCTCGTCACCTTTATTAACAAACACTAGTGGATCTGTAACTCCATCTCTCCAAACACCAGTACCTCTAAAACATAAACGAACAAAGAGCGTAGATTCTTCACATCAACAAGATACATCAACAGTCGGAAAAGCTTCGCCTACAATCACAAAAACAGCAACAACAGCGAATCTTCAGAATATTGTTAAAACTCCAAACAAATTTGCAGTTCCACAAAATGAAACTCCAATCTACAAATCGTTCAAATATACAGATGAAGAAGGAAAAGAATATCATTATCAAGGAACTGTTTTGCCAAGCACAAACGAAATGCATGGTAGGGGCGAATTATTGTTTCCTAATAAGACCATCTATGAAGGAGATTTTGACAAAGGAAAAAAACATGGATTTGGAAAAATTATTTTTCCATCCCCAATTCCAAAGAAACCACCAACCATCGCAATCGGTCAATGGGATAATGATGTACCTTCAAGCGAATTACCTTGGAAAATTTCATATGATGGAGAGGAAATGGAATATTGGGGATATGTAAAATTGAAACCAAAAAGTGTTGGAAAAATAATGTATACTCTTGATGGTACGTACTCATCTACATACAACAAATAATAATTAATAATAATGTAACAACTAAAATTTTAATGGAATTCATTAGATTTTGAGAGAACCCAAGAGGGAGAGCTATATTGTAGCAAGACCAACACCAAGTACTTTGGCTCATTTAAACACAATCAAAAATATGGATTTGGAGTTGAAATTTATCCAAATATTGCAGAAAGATATTGTGGAGGATGGAAACATGACATGTATCATTATTTTGGAACTTATCATTATAGAGATGGCACGTACTTCCAAGGAATGTACAAGAAAGGACAAAGAAAGGGTAAAGGAAAACTTTATTTACCTAATGGAGACATTATTGAAGGTTTTTGGTATGGAGACAACAAAGTTGAAGGCTGCACCTACTACAAGGGAACCTGTAAAAATGTTCAATTAACAAACCTTCATATGCTCCAATTCCAAATTCAAGAATCAATGAAGTTATACGAGAATATGGGGCACATGGATGAATTAGCTATGAGTATGTACGACCCAGAATGTGTAAAACCTGCATCTGATTTGAAGTGGACTCAATATTTGGTGCTTTTTAGGGATGATTGGAAAAAAGAGCGGTACGCTCTTTCAAAGAAACTAGTCAGCAAAAGTTCTACCAGATATGAGCTAATGGGAATATCTTCCGTGTCTGCACAGTTCGACAGATTAAGGAAAGCTTTTACATCTATTCTTACGCAGTTATTGACAGGAACCTTTTCTGATATTTCTGCCTCTGCTTTAGATCCCAGTTTCAAGTTTATATCCAATTTTATTGCATTCTTTGTCAGCATATTCTGTGGAAGTTACTATATCGGATCGAACTCAAAATCAGTTTCTGGAAAGCATCAAGCCACACTGCTCTATCATGCGATTGACGATACAAAGAGTTTTATCATGTTTTTATGTGACAAAGTGTTGTGGGACTTTTTCGTACGAGATGTCTTCTCGGTGGCTCTTACTGCAGATGTTCCAAACTCGGAACAACTATTGGTAGATATTGAAAAGGAGTTTTATCCAATTTGTAGAAACTTAATTTCAAATACCGTTCATGAAAAATTGGTATGTTACTGAGCTTTAGAAATTTGTGTGACCTTAAATTTTTTACACGATTTTCATACGATAGTTTTCAACGTTATTTGAACTTTACAACTATCACTATCGTGATAGCGATTTACTCATGAATCAAAAGATTAGATCTCTTCAAGGTTGTACCATATCAATGTTTGGTGTCGCACCAGAATTTGCTCCATTACCACCCTCAGACATGAATCTTGTATTTTACGAATACAAACAAACAAGCGATATTCCATATGAAGAGACAATCAAACTATTAGATCAAATAAGAAATGCAAAATCAGTAATTGCTAAAATTGAAACTCTCTCTAAAGTTAGAACACACGCCATGCAAACAATGAAAAAATATAGAAAAGCACATAAGCGAAAGGAGGCATATTTGAATTATCAGTCTTCAAATGAAGTTTATGACATGGATAGAAACACAAAACCAACTACAAAGGAGCCGTGGTGGAACGCAGAGCTCGAGAAACGATGTGAGGAGTGGCAAGCAGGAGCTGATGATGTCACATCTGTGTATAGTTATATTTTCAGCAAATCCAGCATTGACAATTTTACTGCTACTTTCCACTATGTTAATGACTGGAAGTCAGAACAGGTGAATTTCGATCCAGTCAGTCACATAATACGATTTTATGAAGGCTATTTATCATATATTCAAGATATAGACCCAAATATTTTGCATGATGGCCAATTTATTTCCAAGTACTCTCTGACTAGCTCCTTAGAGTCCGCTATTGAAGGACGCGTTCTTGTGTACCGAGATAAGAATTTACCATTCTTCTGGTTACCGAGCTTGTTGGTCCATGTTGGTCTGGAAATTGGTAAAACCGTCGCAAATTCAGCAGCCGCTATTACCAAATCATCTTCCCTTAGTATTTCAAATATTACCAACATTACTAATATTACTGCTGGCTCAATTTTGAACCTTTTAGCTTCCTTAAATCCAGCCACTGCTATGACCTCTACGAAAAACGAGTCTGCTCAAGATTCTAAAATGAGTTTTAATCCCTTCACGAGAAAGTTGATACTTCCAAGTAATCTGGAAGTTGTTGATATCAGCAATCAGAATTTAGTTCAATCGATTATCAAATTCTATGATCTGGTTCGACAAACTTTAGGTGCCAGCTCAATAGGTTTCAATGTAGAGTTGAAAAAGAATGAGGAGACAGGCAACAATGATGTCATTGTGGTGTTTGACAAGCTCTATCCAAGCTATGTCTACTCTGAGATTGCACTTGGTGTGACTCGTTACATCAAATACGAACTTCAGAACATTATCATTGTTTAATGAGGAACTGATTGTTGTAAGTGAGCTGTAGCTGTGGTTGATTGTTGCCACTTCGTTTCCTTAAAGGGCTTTTCTGTCATATGCCAAAAGAAGAAAAAATTAAAACCCTTTTATGCAACTAAATTTCCGCGATCGAATCATCTTGCTCGTGTAGGCCTCTAAACTCCTGCAGAGCGCCGACAATGCACCAACAAATCAGGAGAGTAAAGCTCCAATCGGTGCCCCCCAAATCATCTCTTTTTCCATACCAAGACTTTGAGAGACACCACACCAGAACACCAAAGAGATCTCAAAAAAACAAAATCCAAAAAGCGGTTTCTCTCTCTCTCTCGCTAGCCACCCATCGCTGCTGCTGCCGTACTACTGTGTGTGCTATCGTTCAGAAACGGTAATGAGTCGCTCCTCATCCTGCACTGTATCTACTTCCATGTTGTTTTTGAGAACACCTCCAACGAATTCTGTGATCGTCATTACTGAGAAGAGTTTTTTCTTTAAGGTGCTTTAAAGATTTTGTTGAAACAACGCCATTCATACTTCCGAGTGCACGAGAGTAGCACAATTACAAAGGACGACAGATTTCCACCACTTCTCAAATCCATTCCATTCACTCTTGTATATTATTCATTCACTACTCACATTCTATTTATTGCCGTTGTGTCGATCATCATCATCATCCTTCTTTGTATATTCCAATTAATTGGTCATTCCATGGGCGGCATCAATTCTGTAGCCATTCGATCCACTCCTCACGACGACGACGGAAAGCTTGATCTCGAGAATAACTACAACAACAACAACAGCAACTTCCATTCGAGAGCTCTCGAGGGTGAAGAAGCAGAACGAGCCTTACAGAGAGCTCTCTTCATTGGCACCACCAACACCAGCACCAACAGCACCACCACTACTGATTCATCACCAGCACCACCACACCACCACACCCACCGATCAGGATCTGTTGCTTCTGAGGGATCACCCAAATCCATTCCAATTTGGCTCGACAACACAACCACTTGTTACTTTCCGAACCGTAACAATAAGAGATCTTCCTTTCTTCCTCAACAACGATCTTTTTGCACCACCAAATCCACGCAGAAACCAGCACTTTTATGTAAACGAGAATCAGAGTCCACATTGAAATCATCCGTGGAGTCCACCTTCAATACGGATTCCATCTCTCTGAATGGCTCGAAACGAAGTCATTCTGCTATTGGTCTCTCACTCTATGAAAAGTCATTACTCACAAGGGAATTGAAAGCGAGTATGAATGATCACTTTCAACCACAAAAACAACAAATGGTTGAATCGGCCTCCATGTTACACTCATCGGTTTCAACGTCCTCATTCCTTTCTTCGAGTGATCACAATAGAAACAGTCCTAAGAAAGCAGCTGTGAGTGGTGGTGTTACGGATCCAGTGAATAATAGCACACAATCGTCGAGTGGTGTTGACATTCCTCAACGTCGACGAAAAAAGAATGGACCTCAGAATTCTTCATCACAAGATTATGACAGTGATACATCGACGTCCTCTTCTTCTTGTACCAATTCACCCCCACAACCACTCTTTCTTAAATACTATGTCAAGAAGAATAATGGTGTTGTTTCAACCCAACAAGGAGATTCATGTGCAGATGACTTGTACGATTATGGCAAATCTGAAAAGAATCAACGAAACTTTCGATCTCAATCACTTCCAAATACGAATACAGAACCTGGGTCTCCCATTCGACCAATGAAGAAGGTTAACTCAGATAATTTCGGTTGTGACTTCCTTCCCATCATTGTCACACCTCCACCCTCTTCACCTGAACTCACTTCGTCAACGCCACCTTTTCGATCCGTGAGTCAAGAATTGCAACAAGCCAAGAGAGAAAAACGAGCTCGACGAAAGAAGAAATTACTCGAGCAACAATTAATCCACGAACAACAGCAACAACTCTTAGAACGCAGCATGAATATGAAGTCAACCATTCGATCAAGCTCAGAAATTAAGCTCAAAGATAGTCCCAACAGCAAAAAGAATAATCATGCAGATCCTGCCCACCAAACACATTGCACTCTTCCTTCCATCTTTGAAAAAGTTCTTTCACAAACAAGAAACTAACAATGTCAGCACTGAAAATGTGAGCCTCCTTTTGATTGTTCTCAGATATTTATTGGTCACTGTTGCTGAATATTGACAAGAAAGCATTTCTACAGTATGTTCACACACATGGAACCACCCTCAACAATGAATAAATGCTGGCTCCTTTCTACTAGTATCTTGTGTTGTCGAACATGGAACACACACTTGCGATGTTGAACGAACGATTGTTTTCTTGTTTTCTGCGATAGTTAGGGACAAACTAAAAATAAAATGTTTTCACCCAAAAGACTTGAACTCTATCGTGAGAAACTCATGTTGGAGCCACCAAGTTTGATGAAGGCGATCCTCATTGATGATGATGAACCACAACCACAACAGAGTAGTTTCGGAATTTCTGAAGTGGAATATTTTGAGAAATGTTCCATCGGGAATGAACAGGAATTACTGCTGGGCGAAGGAGGAAATCATCATCATCGCCAATCTCTCTTTCATTGTGGATTTATTTCAAAGAGAATGGCTGCTGATTTTGATAATCTTGATGAGGGATGGAAAAAGCGGTTGACTCTTTGTTGTCGGGAACATAAGAATGGTTGTTCCGATACAAAATTCTTCATCATGACAGGTTCTTCATCAGCAAAAGAATTACTTTCTCATCAAGTGTATGACACCTTGTTGTATAGAGTATTTGATTCGGCTATTGGAAATGGTGGCATTGAGCAAAATAATTTCATCATCACGAATAGCAACCATTCGAGTGTAGCGCCGCTCGGAAGATCACAACCATGTACTGCACTGTATCATCATGAATTTGAAATTATATTTTCAAATAATTATCCTTTACAACCTCCGAGAGTGAGATGTCATACCCTCTATCATCCAAATGTACATCCAATGACTAGCGAGGTGTGTTTGCCGTTATTGGCGTTGAATGAATGGAAGCCATGCTTTGTAATTTCTACAATTTTAATGGCCATTGATCAATTATTAACTGATCAAATGCATTGGGCTTCAGATTGGAATACAAGTAGAGTGAATGGAGAGGCATTTCAATTATTGAGAAATAATGTTGCATGTTTCAACGAACGAAAAAGAGAATATTATTTTAGTAGAAAAGCAATAATTGCTGAGAATGGAGGTCAATTTATGAGTGCATTTGGAAAATATAGTGGTAGTCACTTGAGTAATTGTATAGAAACAGAAACCACACCAGCAGAAGCTGATTCATCCTCTTTGGATGAAATGATGATGGACGATCCTCATGTGTGAATTAAGGAAGAATTTACAATATGATAATTGTTGTTTTTTACTCCTTCCTATATTTGAACAAGTTCGAACATGAGAATTACATTGGACTATGACCATGGTAAGTTCGTTTTTAAATGTCACAGACATGTTCACTGCATTGTTTATCTAAAATGACCAAATCAGACTTGGATTATTATAATTCTAGCATAGTTAGGTAGCACTTATAGACTTGTTTTAGTTTTAGAAAGACGGAAGTGTTTCTGAAGCACACCACCTTAAACATGCATTCTTGTTGGTATATTTGAAAAACAGTCATTCAAATCTCACTTTGCAATTCCTCCCTGTTTTTGCAAATCACGTGATAACTTCCACGTCTTGTATTCCCTCGTGTCCTTCAATCGTTCAAAGGTATCATTTAAATTCATGAGCAAATCAGTGAGAAGGATGTTGTAAAACTTGGAAAAGCGAATTTTTTCTGTCACCTACTCCTTCTTTTCCGTCATTTCCAAATTCGAAGTGTTGGAATTCTTTTGATTCATTGTGGGCCATAACGTTTCCAATTCGCGAGTGACTTTTGAAGGCATGTTCACTTCATATTTTGAATAATTTTGAAAATATGTCACATGAATATGATGAAAATCCTCCTCTGAAATTTCTCCATTCGAGAGGGATTGACTCTTTTTTTGTAATTCTTGCAATTCCTTATAAAGTAAAATATTCTCCAATGAAAATTCTTTCGTGCAGTACTGTGTGAATAGTTCTTGAAAGGTTTCATCTTTCAAATATTCTTCAAGAAGTGATTCAACGTTACTTGACTGAGTGGCCTTTGCAGAGTCTTTTTCGGATTTCTTCTCATAACGAGTGCGCGCCCGTCGAAACCATTCCAATATCACGGCAGTGAATCCACCTCCCAACATGTATGTGAATATGGGGGTGAACTTTTTCAAGATGGCTATCAGAATGTCACTCACATGCGCAGCCGATCCCAATAAACCCACATTAAAAATCACAATTAATATCAAACAACATAAAATTCCAAAGAGTGTCAAGATGTCAACTCTCAAATGAAATGGATCTTCAAAAGTAAAGATATGAAGAATTCCCTTCTCTCGAATTTTCTTCCAATTCGCAAAAATGTCCACAAGAAAAATTAATATTCCTAACACACATGGAATGAAAACCTGAATCACATACATGATATTGATTCCTAATTGAGGTTTTGGATTATACCCATTTGTGGAAAAGTAAATAATGGCAATCAATAGCCAAACCAGTCCATATAAAAGTCCAGAACATAATGAACCAATAATTCCAAACAAAACAGACGAAAGCATTCGATGGAGTTTGATTTGTTTCTCCGAAGATTCATTCATTGCCAACAATCGATACAAATATCTCATATAAGAAAACCTTAATAAAGTAAATCCATAAATTCCAATAAGAATTCCCAACAAGGTCAAAATGACACATGATTGCATACTTGGACAATAAGTTCTAATTCCTTCCGAGAAGAATGCACACACCAGTATGGCCAAGGATGGAACCAAATAGGGAACAAGCAGTCGACGTTTCATCGAAATGGTTTTCCACACTGTTGAAAATCCGCCAAAAAAAGAAAACCCATCACAAGAGAAATATAATTCAAAGCTTCATAAACTGCTCGAGCTGGAAATCCAAGGGAATCAGAACATGTCATGAATTCATTGGTCATGGAATTAAGGCAAAACATTTCATTAAGGGGATGTAAGGAAGAGAAATTGTCCGTCTTGTAAATTCCATAATTTTGAGAGGAAATGTAGGGATAAAAAGTGAGATTGGAAGAGACGGATTTGAATAGAAAATCTTTTAGGAATATTCTTTCTGTGAGTGAAATATTTCCCAAATTTCCAAATCGAGCATTTAAGGTTAATAGGTTGTCATTGAAAAAAGGAATGAATGAAGTGGAATTTAAAAAAGAAAAATCTCTCTTCCTGTAAACATTCTCTTCAATTTCTAATGTCGAAGAAAATTGATTGGGAGGAATGGAAGTGACAGCATATCGAGTGGGAATTGAGAATTCCTGTAAAAATTCCATTTCACTCCATTCGACCAATTTTCCATTTCGAGGAAGATTTATCAACACATTTTGAATGGTTTCTATATCAGTCACAAACACATCAAACATTTCCATTGGATTTCCCATGATACAATCGATATAAATAGAAGACATTGAAGCGACACTTTGTGGAATGATTTTCGAAGCATTCAAAGCTTGTAATTCCAAATTGAACATTTGCAATCTCGCATCAAACTATACTTTCAAACCATCTCCAATAATTGCAATTCTCTTCTTGTCCAATTGTTGAACGGATGTGAAATTGGAGCCAAATTCTCCGTTCCGAAATTTCCACACCAACAAATGATTCCACCCATAAACGATAAAATTTCGAGAAAAGAAATTAATTGTCGTTTCTTCGTAACGAGAGGATATTGTTTGCTCATATTGTTGTTGAATAAATAATAAATCGAGAATGGAATAGTGTTGGAGCGGGAGAGGATTGCTTGTTGAAAGTTTGGAAATTTTGGAAGAATGGAAAGAGTTTTGAGAAGCAACACAGAGAGTGAAGAAGGAAAATGAAAGAAGGGAAATGAGAAGAACACAGGTTGCTGAGTGATGAGAAGGGTGTTGCATTTTTTGGTGTTGGCAGATGACAAGAAATGATGACGCAAATACCAAAAATGTCGAATAAAGATCCGCATCAATGATTAAAGCTCCTTCTCGTAAGTAGTGTCGAATCTCTTCATCGCTGGCAACAGATCCAATGAATTTCTTGAATACAAAGATGGCAATGATGAGAGTGAGTAAGAGAAGAAGGGTCGGTGAGTGTTGTTTCAGTTGATCGACCAGTTGCATTTTTCTTAAATGTGGTTATTAGTAAATTACATATAAGAATAATAATTTAAATCACACAGAAGGGGTCAAGTCTTTAGAGTCTGGTGTGATTTTCTTTCGAACTAGTTGGCTTTACTTTGTTCAGTAGCATTGTATGTATACATGAAAAGGTCTTGACAAGGAAACGCCGAAATCCATTAAGGAGAAAATGTTCAAAGATCACAACTGGTGTGTACTAGCTTGACAAGTCCAATTTAGTCAATAATAATACCAGCCTGGTGTGCCTCATTATTGAATATATAATACATGTACTCTCATCAGGCCTTCCTTCTTCTCATCTTCAATATAAATCCGTTACATTTCAAGACTTGACTTTGATCTTCTCTAGCTCTTTGTTCAAATAAGTAAAATGTCGACCACCACAACAATAGAAACAAATGGGCTTGTGATTTCAAAATGAATCTCTTGAAAGAACCTAAGAGTGGATTGATGTGAAGTAGACAGGTGTACCATTCTATGTACTTGTGGATAAGATTTGAGTTTAAAAGATGTGATAGGATGTCTTTCAGCATATTCTTGATTGACTAACACCCTTAAATTCATCGTCTAAGAGCGTTGGTATTAAATAGAGAGCACATTGTTCGTTTGCATGATTTGGCAAGTCACAAGAATGCATTTTCTGTTTGCCACAATATCAAGAGCTCCAAATGATGGTTGGATCGAATCGATGGTTGTATTGGGTACAATGAATGGTTGGAGAGTCCTTGAATAAAGGAACATTATTTGAACAATCCATCCCTAATGTTTGAAGAAAGTGAGGTAAGTCTCTTCACCATACTCCATTCGAACACTTTTGATGGTGGAATAAGAATTGGAAAATCCCAAACAATTGAGTGAAACCTTTCTAAACGATAGCTGCCACAGTTACACCTAGTTTTCATATTGCTAAGGCCTATCAATTTTCATTTTGTACAAGTGACGTATATCCATTGGTCTCCTGGCCAACAAATCACTCTTTTCTTCTTCAAAAAGCATTCCAACCGATGACGACAATTGGTGTGTTTTATGGAGGAGAACATACCAAGTGAGATTCCAACTCACCCAAAAAGATTTTTCCACAAACAAAAAAAAATGAAGTCCTTCTTCATCCTCGACAAACTCGGAGAAATCATCATTGAAAGACATTTCTTAGGAAATGTGAGCAGAAGTGTTGCGGAACAGTTCTATACAGAGGTTATGAAGGAACAGCACAAAGGAGGAGTTTCTAATGTTTCTCCAATTATTTCTACATCTAAATATTATGTCGTTCATGTCTTTCGTAATAACTTGTATTTTCTTGGTGTGGTGGATAAGGAATATCAGCCTTTGATGATTATTGAAATGTTGCATCGTATTGTTGATACTTTGGAGATTTATATTGAGAAGGTGAATGAGCAGAATTTGAAGAATAACTTTGTAGTGGTCTATCAGGTAAGTGGTCCACTCTCCGGTATTTACATGAAACCAAATTTATCATCATCATCATCATTATCGAAATCATACGGATGAACAATGTACATCGGATACATTGTTATTCTATTTCTCTTCTGTGGTCTTTCAATTCTCTGATGAAAACATATAATCTGTGATGGCCAATAATATTCTTCTCTTGGATCATCCTGTTATGGATATTGGGGTGTACATTTACCTCTTCAACATGATAACACTGTCATACCTACTACTACGGAATAACATACATTTAATGATCATCTAATACCGGATGATGATGATATTCGAACATCCACAAAAACAACAACAACAACATCATTGGACATTTCACAATTCACAACACACGATTTTCTCTAAATCACGACAAAGCTTCTTGATGAAATGGTTGATGGAGGATTTCCAATCACCACTGAAATTTCTCTCCTGAAAGATCTTGTTCGGCAACCAGCTTCCATAGCCAAACAATTGACAGCAGAGTTAGGGAAAGGAAACAGTCTTGGTATTGCCGGGCATAACAAGGCTCTTGTTCCATGGCGTAAGGGAGGAATCAAGTATATGAACAATGAAGTATACTTTGATGTCGTGGAAACTCTCAATGTCATTGTCGATGTGAATGGTGGTTCCGCTATTTCTGAAGTTTACGGAATTATCAAATCAAGTTGTAAATTATCTGGAATGCCTGATTTGTTGCTCCAATTCAATGACCCTAATATTATTGAAGATATTTCATTCCACCCTTGTGTTCGTTACGCTAGATATGAACAGGATAAATCCATTTCATTCATTCCACCTGATGGAGATTATGAATTACTCTCCTACCGTATGTCCAACTTGCCTATGCTTCCTATTTATTGCCGACCTCAAATTACATTCTATAGAGGAGGAGCAAATGTGAATGTAATGCTCAATTTGAGACATACACACAACAAATCATTGGACAATGTGAAAGTGTTAATTCCAATTCCTCCTACTGACAGTCAACAATTAACAACATCTGTTGGATCAATTCACTATGATGCAAATTCACAATGTTTGGTTTGGAATATTGGTAAATTGAGTCCACAAACTCAACAATCGAAGGCCCCAACACCATCCTTGTCAGGAAAAATTACATTCCCATTAATGTCAGGAAAATCTGAACATGAAATTCACTCTTGCCCTGCTGTTCAGGTTCAATTTGAACTAGATGGAGTTTCCATGTCAGGATTGAAGGTCGACAGTGTACAATTGAGAAATGAAAATTATAAGCCATTTAAGGGTGTGAGGTATTTGACCACTTCTGGAAGATATGAGATTAGAACTGTTTAATTTTTTGCGTGACGATCTATAAATCATAGAGTATTCCATAAACGTTTTTGTTCAATCACCAGTTAATTAAGTGACGACTTTTTCATTGAATTCGAAAAAGCTAAACATTAAAAAATTTGGAGTTGCCGGGTATCGATCCCGGTACCTCTCCCATGCTAAGGGAACGATCTACCATGTGATCTACAACCCCATTACATATATTAAAATATATTTTAATTAAGATCGCTTAATGAGACTGTCTCCGACACTTCATCCAAATTGCAACAAGCTCAAAATGCGGAAGAAAAAGGTGAACAAGCAGATGAACGAACTAGAAAGTGTCAAGATGAGAATTCCCATTCCAAATTCCAACTTCAACATCGAGATTTGATGACAGCGAACGTTATTTCGGTCCGGAGCAACGAAGTGAAACAGGTGGTTGTTTCTGTCATTCAGAGAATGGAATTGAGTATTGATACTAATGATTTTAAGTACATGTATGGCTACGGCCATATCACGATGAATGCACCTCATCCCGTCCGATTTGAGAAGTTAAGCACCGTCGAGCTGCATTAGTACTGAGGTTGGAGACAACTTGGGAACCTACAGTGCTGTAGCCTTTTTTCATCCGAACGCTTTTTTTCTTCAAGCTTTTTTTATTAAAAGTATCACCTCTGTTTTTATCATTGGTATGTACTCTCAAATCTGTTCTGAAATTGTTTGAGGTCCATTCTGTCCAACTCTTCTCAATATTAGAAACTCTTTGAAAAATCTTTAATGGCTGCCTTCAATAAATTCCAGACTGCAGTTCTCACAGGACTGTCATGTCAAATCAATCCAATCGGCTGGACAACGAGAATCACGATTTTTTCCACTTGAGATCCACAAACTGGAGAGAAAGTGTAATTTCAATTAAGAGCTCCTAAATTTGTTTTTCACAAATTTGGAATTAAAAGCTTTGAGAAAATGAACTGCATGATTTGAAACATTGTTAATTACTGATTACTTATGATTTATTTGTTATTATATTTTAATATATTAAATAGAACTGTTCTCTCCTGTTTGAAGATTATAGTTGTTTTTCTGCGCACAAAAAACTTGACTTTTGGTTTTGCTAAAATTAAGGATATCTAATTAAGAGAGGGCCCTATCAAATCTACAGCGAACAGCCATTCAGCCAGGATGGTCCTCACTACATCCTACTGGATTTGGACTCGATGGTTAATTGTAAAGCTTTAAATACCATATGATTGAGGTATTTCACAATCCATCCTGAAAAAGATCGGAGTATTATAGAATTTCTGTCCTTATTGTCTTCGTCATTAAGACATCCCTTTCCTAGATTTTGAATGTTTCGAAAGAGTAAACAATAAAATTCGTTTGTTAATTAAAGGAAGGACTAATGGGTTTGTGGTCTCTCCAAACACCCGACCTTAATATGTCGTTACATACATGATGAGAAGCGCAAGAAGTCACAGTTAGGCGGCAGAGACAAAGACTCCATGATGTGAGGTCACATTTAAGCAATTGATTGATAAATCCATGAAAATCATGAAAACATGATGAATTAAATAAATGAAAATTAAATAATAAAAATATATAGTTAGCTCAATAAAATCCTTGCCGAAAAGATTCGAATCAAGGTGGACCTGCACTGTCACAATGTTCTTCCTTACCACAAAAACATTCCGATCAGCGCAAAAGGTACTTGAATAAGCCTAAGAAAGCAAGTGGGTGGGAAGTCACTAAGCAACACGCAAAGAGAGACTTCATTAAAATGCAGAAAATTTTTTGAGCATGGAAAAAATTTTTCAAGCTCAACCAAACTCTTTAATTGTTTACAATCGAATCATTCATGCCTTTCACTACGTTCAGAACATATCAGGTTTTAGAATTTTTGAATAGTGTTGACCTTAAGGGTGCTTATTTTTTTTTCATGGTCGGCTATTTTAGTCTCAAGGTTAGTAATTGTTTTTCCTTGTTCAGCTATTACTTTCTCAAGGTTGTCAATCATTGTCCTTTGTTCAGCTAATACTTTCTCCTGGTTGGCAATAATTACCCCTTGTTCAGCTATTACTTCCCCAAGGTTAGTGATAGTTTTTTCTTGTGCAGTTATTACTTTCTCAAGGTTGGCAATGATTATCCCTTGCTCAGCTATTACTTTCTCAAGGTTAGTTATTGAATTGATTAACAGATCGATTTTAGAGTATGTGGGTATGTTTTTCAAAACCTCGGAAAGAGAGACATTTTGGATGGATGTTAATGCTTCCACCTTTTGAATTTTTTTCTTTTTAAGAGAACAGAAATGTTCATCATGTTCCTTCAAATCATTCGCCGTTGCAAGAAAGTGAGATTTATCAGCTTTCTCTTTTGGTCTTTTTTTGGAAGAGAAGAAACACATATCTTCTTCTTCCACATTCTTCACTAAACAATCAAAAACCTTAACCTTTTTTTCTTCATCATTTAAGGTTTGGTTTGTGTTTGGGATGCGATGCTGATGGGTTTTCGTGATGATGATTTTTTTTATGCAAAGGCGCCTAATTTTCCTAACTGTATTTTGTAAGTAAGGAAATCATGTTGGCTAAGTTGATCATTCGATAGTTAAGACATGTATTTTGCTGCGTCATCAATTCATGGCTTTTCTTTTGAATTTTGTTGCAAGATGAAAAGGAATTATTTATTTAGAAATCATGGAACGAAATTCTGATTTTGTCAGAGGTTTGAAAGAATTAATTTTGCAATTTCCAATCTTTCTCCTCTTTTCTCATCCCTCGTGGACATTGTTAATCGAACTATTACAGAATACAAGGAGACTCTGTTTAGTGTAAAACAAAAACCGTGAATAGAATGTCTTTTAAAAAACAACACCTCCTTCCAACTTGCTTCGAAATCGAAAGAGCACACTTTCGAGAATATTCAGATCCAAAAAAAACATCAACACTTTACAAGTCATCCTCCATTCAATTTTATTTCATGGTGTTTTAGAGATTGTCATCAGGATCCCAAAACAGCATTTTAAATATATTATTATTTATTAATTTCTTCTCTTCATCATTACTTTACCTCTCTTCATCATTGATTTATTATTATTGATTACATTTTGGAAGAATTATACAACGACGTGAATGGAAATGAGTTCATCACCGCTACCCTCCTCTCCATCGTCCCTTCCTCCGAATACCACTTACACTCCGATGCAACATAATAACAACATGTCCACATTAGACTTGGTGCCGAGTCATGATAGTAATACTTCCCAGACAAATGAACTTCTTTCTCTCCCGACGACGACGACAACAACAACACCATCTTCTCAACCACCATTAACAACAACAACTGCCAATAGTTCCGTATTCGTTGAACCTGCTACTGTTGCTACAACTACAACATTATCATCCGAATTAACCACTTCATTAAACATTACTTCCTCAAAGAGTGTGAATGATGGTGGAAAAACTAATGCTATCAATCATGGTAGTAGTTTCAAGTCAAATTTGCCTTCTTCAAAGTCTCATCATCATCCTCCGAAAGGAGAAAGTAAGAATACTTTGGAAGAAAGATCCAATCCTCGTATTATCACTGAATACAACCCTCTTTCATCCACATTCATTATACAGCCTCTCAATCCTAACGAAAAACCTTTACTGGATGCTGTGAAAGAAGAACTCGAACATTGGGATGATGACGATGAAGCAGCAGCAGTCTCGATTCCTCAAACACACAAAGATCGGCCCACCAAATCAGCAGCAACAGCTACAACAACTTCGGAAAACATCCATCATGTGGGCGTTGGTGAGGAACAACAACCTCCATCTCCACTGGCCACTATCACCATCAATATGGAACATCACCATCCAACACTGGATTCGTTTCACCATCATGCAACAGATCATCCCAAACAACCTTTTTACAAAATTCTCGCTTATTGTATCTATTATATCGGAAGTGGCTCTACAAGCTCTCTTGTATTGGGAATACTTTTACAAAATCTGGTTATTCAATTTCTTGGAGAAGAAAATAAGGCTCTCCATTTGAGTATTATTGTGACCATTGCAACAGTGATTGGTAGTGCTGTCTCACCGGTTGTGGGAAATATTTCAGATCGTATTGGACGAAAAACTCGAATTCCCATTGTGGTGGTTGCAACACTCCTTTGGGCCTTATCTATTGTGCTACAAGCTATTTGTTCCATGATGCACACTCAATTTCCTAAATATTACATATTTATTGTGGTGATATATACCATTGTATTGTGTTTTGGAAAATCTGGTTATGTCACATCCCAAGCAATTATTACTGCAATGGTTACAGATTTGTTCCCACAAGAACAAATCAATTTAGTGTCTGCACTTGTTGGTGTATTTACATTAATTGGTACACTGCTTGGAGTTGTTCTGGGAGGAATTCTTGTGAGTCATATCGATTTAATTTGGGTATGTTTGGGATACGCCACACTTTGTACCTTCGTATGTGTGCCATTAGCTCTCTTCCATAAAGAGCTTAGAAAGCCACCCATTAATGAAATACAAAAAGCTGCCAAGGCAGTTTCTGAATTTGAGGACATTCCATTAAATGACACCTCTAATGCAGCAGCCAACAATAACAACAGTTCAGACATGATAGATGCTACTCCAATGCCATCCCCACCTCCTCCAAAACCTTCACGCTTCAAACGTGCTCTTTCTTACATTATGCAATTCTTGATTCCTTTCAAAAATAGAAATTTTACTTGGGTGTTTGTGACACGTTTTACAATCCAACTTACAAATGCAGCTGCCAAGAACTATTTTCTTTACTTTATTCATGACGTATTGAAACCATACAACTTTATTACTGACAAATTTCCAACCACAGACACAGAAGCATTGTCACTTTTTTTGGGAATTGTCTTTTTGTTTACTTTTGTGAGCGCCTTATTAGCTCAGAAAATTGCTAGCATTATTGGACGACGATTTGTGTATAGTGGTGGAGCACTCATGGTTGGCATTGCCAGTATTGTCCTTATTATTTTCAGATCATACACGGTCATGGTATTGTGTTGCTCAATTTTATATGGTCTAGGAATAGGGTCTTTCATTAGTGTGGATTTGTCACTCGTGAATTCTGTGCTCATTTCTAAAGATGATTCAGGAAAGGATTTGGCTTTATGGAATATTTCAGGAACCATTCCAGAATTGTTGGGAGTTCCAATAGGAGGTCTCGTTATCTTGATAGGTGACTCTATTGCTCCAGATATCAAAGGCATGGGATATTTGCTGTTATATACTTTGGGAGCCTCTCTGCAAGTCTTGTCTGGTTTTATGATATTTTGTGTGAGAATAAGTAGAGCTCAAGATACTGGAAATGTGACCATCTCCAATCCACAAGAGCAATCATCCAAAAACAACAACATCTTGGAAGATACCTCAAGCCAACCAAATCATCATGACGACAATACGGCCACCAATAATTCTACCTTTTCTCCCACCATTGAAAAAGAAGAGATTGAATTACATGATGAAGTTTTGCATCATTCACAGCAAGTAGTAGAAGGACAAACAAGTAAAGTGTAAACCTGCTACTGTTTTCGGTCAATTTTTCATTACTATCTAGAGGTTTCAACTCTTTCTGTACGTCATTGAGTCCGTCTCCTTGTTTTGTCTTGATTCATTAAATAGGTTTGATTAATTCTCCAGCAATCATTTTCTCATTCCTTGATGGATGTCGAGTGTCAATCATTCTCGGGCAGATGAAAATTCGCCGTTATTAAAAATTGACCTCCTTTAAATTTTTGTAAATGAAATCTCACCGTTACGGCCATCATCATCCTCAAAAAAAATGCATTCCCTCCACAAGATCGAAAAGATTCTTTCTCATGGCCATCCTCATCCATCATCATCATCATCATGGCTACTTTCAAAATCCATACTCTCGAAACCTATTACCACCACTAACAAGAACAAAACCACCACCTCTCCATTCAAACCATCCAAGCTCGGATCGGAAAGGATGATCAATTCTTTCCACTCATCACCATCCGAATCGGATTTAATACAAGCATCACCTACGCGAAATCAGTCCTCTCCATTTTCTTCTTCAAATAACTCCAAAAATGTAAAAAGAAATAATTCCATGATGATGAATCAAGCATTGGAATCTTCAATACGATCCTTTCATACTTCACAGTCGGAAAAGAGTTCCGAAGAAGGCTCACCTTCTCAACAACGAGCAAAAATGGCGCTACTGGAAAAACTGCCAACGTCCTTATTACTATTTTTGTTAATCTCATTGGGAAATGCAACCATCATGATGATTTCAAAAGAAGAAGAACAAGTTGATTCTCATTCTCATGGAATGATTGTTCATTTACATGCTGAGGAATCCAACAGTTTGGACGAGTCTCAAAAAACAGAAAATTTACAATATTTCACTTTGGATCAAGTGGCTCAACATTGTTCCAAGCAAGCTGGTGGTATTTGGGTCATCTTTAAAGGAGGTGTCTATGATGTGACAGAATTTATTGAGGCACATCCAGGAGGAACAGAAAAAATCATGCTTGCATCTGGAAAGTCCATTGAACCATTTTGGGAAATTTATCGACAACATCACACGAAAGAAGTTTATGAAATTTTGGAACAATATAAAATTGGAAAATTGGATCCAAAGGATGTTCAGAAATTGAATGAGTTGAAAGCATCTCAAGAGAATGCAAATGATATTTATGCCAATGATCCCAAAAATAGAAATCCAATTCTTCAGGTGAATATGGATAAACCTTTTAATGCGGAGACACCTCCTTCAATTTTGGTGGACAAATTTATTACTCCAAACGAAGTATTTTTCATTAGAAATCACTTACCAGTTCCAAAACTTGATGCAGACACCTACTTGTTGGAAATTTCGGGATTAGGAATAGAAACCCCAATCAAGCTCACATTGAATGATTTGAAAAACAATGAAAAGCTCAAACATCACACCTTGACAGTTGCTCTTCAATGTGCAGGAAATAGAAGAACAGAAATGTCATGTTACAAGCCACCACGAGGTCTTGGATGGACCAATGCTGCAGTTGGAAACGCACAATGGACAGGTGTCAAATTGATTGATGTGTTAAAATTGTACGGAATTACAGAAGAAAAAATTTTGAATGAAGGAAAAGTTAAACATGTGGAATTTAAGGGAGCTGATACAGATGGTATTTCAAGTTATGCAATTTCAATTCCAGTGGATCGAGCCATGAGTGACAAAGCAGATGTTTTATTGGCTTTCAAAATGAATGGAGAGGACATTCCAATTGATCACGGATATCCTGTTCGAGCCATTGTACCTGGAGCTATCGGTGCAAGAAATGTGAAAGTAAGTATGAAAAGAAAAATTGTTTCCAAATTTGTTCATCTATAATGGTGATACTTTCATGAAAATGTCATGATTGACTGTATTCATTTACAAACATTTTTACAGTGGGTCACAAAAATTGTGTTAAGTGACACTGAATGTCAATCTGTGTGGCAACAAAAAGATTACAAAACTTTTGCTCCCTCTGTCGATTGGGACACAGCAGATTTTTCAAAAGCAAGTGCTGTGCATGATGCTCCTGTGCAATCTTCGATCTGTAGCCCATCTCCAAACATTCCAATTAAGGATGACACTGTGATTGTTAAGGGTTATGCCTTAGCTGGTTCAGGAAATGGAATTGAACGGGTGGACGTAACTACAGATAATGGAAAAACATGGTACTCTGCGGATATGGAACGCGAACCTCTGAAGTATAATAGAAATTATGCATGGTCTTTGTGGAAAGTGGAAGTTCCAGTGAGTGATGAACACAAAAGTACGGGAGAAATGAAAATTTGCTCCAAAGCAGTCGATACTGCATACAATGTTCAGCCAGAGGATGTGAAGAGCATTTGGAACATTCGAGGCATTTTGAATAATACATGGCATTGTGTGAATTATAAGGTTCAAAACGATAGCGATGGTGAGGACAAATAATTGAATTGGAATTTCACATTCACCCATTTATTGATTCCTATTTTCTCTCTCATAATCATCCAAAATATTTATATTAACTTTCTCATTAATTTATTAAAATATGTTGAGCTACTGTTCAACCTTTGATAATTTGGTAATGAATTGTTCATCTCTTTTTACCTTTCTTGTCCTCCATGATTCTTGTTTGTTAATTTGTTTCATTAGTTTAAAGTCAATCATGTGCATATCACTCACGCTGAATTGTTGCTTATTTGGATGACCTCCACTTTGTTTATACTCTTGATAGGCATCCTCAATTTGTTGAGATAAATTATCATACAATTTCCAATTACTGTTATTTTGCCAATACCACAACACCATCGTTTCTGATTTGAGTTCTGTCTTTGTTGACTGTTGAGAGTTTTGAGAAGAGTTGAATTCTGATGGTTGTTCTTGTTTGACTTTCTTGAAGGGGGTCTGATAAGAAAGTTGGGTTGGACTTGGCAATGATGATATTGGTGATTGAGAAGGTGTTGCATAATTGAATCCAAATACAACACTTTTGCTGCAGCTTGATGTATCACCTATGTTTTGAGAAGAAGGATGTGTTTGGTCGTCAAACGCACGTTTCCTTAACGGTGATGTATCAATGAGAGTATTGTAACTGCTACTTGAGCTTGTCGTCATTCCATTGTTATTGTTGTGGGCAGGAAGGCAGTTATCATTCAAATCTTGATAGAACTTTTTAGAATCTGCATTGACATAACTCAGCTTTTTCCAATTAATATCTACAATCTGCAAGTTTTGAGATTTTCTCACTCTGCTCAATGCTACATAACAAAGACCAGGGCAAAATATGGTAGAGAGATTGACTTTGCAAAAATCCAAAGTCATACCTTGACTTTTATGGACAGTGATCGCCCATGCTAATTTGAATGGAAATCCAATTCTCCACATTTCTGTTTCTGATCCATTCACTTTTGGTCCATGAATTCGAAAAACACAAGGTGGAATGTAAGAAGTTGAATTATCCATAAATCGAATTTGTGGTACCGTTATGTTGAATCTCCATTTAGGAGAGAAACGAGAAAATCGATGTTTTTGCCATTCTTCAATATGCAGTTTTCCGAAAGTTTTGAATCCAATAACAACTCCTCTTGATCCATTGACATGTCTCTTGTCAATATTTTTGGTCAATACGACTTGAGCTCCAACTTTTAGAACAATTGATTCAGGAATTTGGTTGTCCAAAATTCTCTTGATTTGGTTGTACATATTCTTGGGAATATTTCTAAACAGATCAATGGTTTCTGTATCAAAGTGATGAGGTTCGGTGGTGAGTGTGTTCAAATGATAATCATTTTCCTTATCAACGTCCTTATTGGTGGTGTACAGCATGGTAGGTAATACACCATTCACACTCGTTAAATTATTGTGTTGTAATTTCTTGAGAAAAACGATTGTCTCTGGAGATATATTTCCAGTTCTTACTTCACCTAGCACTTTCAAAAACTCAGGTTGGTCAGTTTGTCTGAATATTTGCTTCAACAGAATAATATTTTCAGGTTTAAAAACTTTGTAAAAGAGAGGAGATTGGAACATGAATTGTTTGTCTTTTCCATAATTATTATAGGAACCCTCTGAATCATTGAACCTTCTTGGTACGGGATTCAGCTGCATAAAGTCACCTGATAATATCAGTTGTTTACCTCCAAAGAGGGTAAATCGTTCTACTAAATAGAATGGAATGGGTTGATCATAAATTCTTTCCATGGACTGTTTGATTTGTTTCGATCGTTTTTTGCTTAAGTTGTGTTGTCGTTTGATGTCTGAGTAGAAGCGCACTAACGAAAGTAAAAAGCTTGTTACCTCAAATAATTCTGCACTCACCATGCTTACTTCATCAATGATTAACACTTCGAGGGATTTAATGTCTTTCTTCTTTCCCCAAATTGCATTGCAGTTTCCGTCTGGATCTAAACCGAGCAAACTGTGAAGTGTGACGCCTCCAATGTTGACCGCAGCTATTCCGGTAGCAGCAGTAGCAGCAAAGTTTTTTTCGAGCATCTTTAACATTGCAACAATCTTGTGAAGCAAATAGCTCTTGCCAGTTCCAGCAACTCCTGTCACAATGACGGATTCTCCTCGTCTCACCTTCTCCATGACTTGTTTTTGCTCGTCAGACATGCCATCCATGAGTGATCCAATGGCATCTTCAATATCTTGTGTGTCCAACATGTTTTTCAGTTCATAATCTTCCTTTTCAGATTCATATTCATATTCATCTTGAGAACAATTTATAATCCCATTAGATCTTGTACAGTCTAAAACTTCCAACGACCCTGATGATGGCTTGTCTTCTTTCTTTGTGAAAAATGAAGATCCCAAGGGATTGTCCAATAGTTTGATATTTGGAAAGCTCGAAAATCCGAAAGAAAATGAATTATTATTACCATTGCTATCAGCTTCAAGTTGGTTGTTGTGAGTGGTTAAGGAATTTGAAAATTTCAAATGGTCTAACTCGCTATCATCCACAAGGTCGATACAGTATTGCTGAGAGTTAAAGGAGCTTAGTTGATTCTGGTTATTACTACTTTGAATAAGGTTTTTTCTTGTCAATTTAAAATCATTACTGTTTTCATCAATCGGTATTGCAGTATTAATACTATTTCCTAAAGTTTCGTTAGAAATATTGCTTTGTAGTCGTTGCATGAGTAATTCGAATGGTCCCAAACTTGGTCTGCCTCCAGTGGTGCTTGCGCTTGATCCTGACTCGATGGAAATTGGAGTCATGTTTTTGTTTTCTGAAATTGGTGTGGTCATCGACATTGGATCAATGTTAGGATTCATGTTGTGAGGGGTGTTTGAGGAAGCAGTTGAAGTTGGTGAAGAAGAATTTTTCTCCTCTTCTTTTGATGGTGTTGCAGCACTCGTTGATATTGAAAAAGGGTTAGATGGTGAAGACATGATAGAGTCCTCCATGGTTTTGGACTCCACCGTATTTAATTCCGATGTTTTATGATTGTTTTCGTTGTTATCAGATGATGGAGATGAAGAAGAAGAAATTACAAAGGACATATCATTGTTTATGGATGGTTGATGTTCAATCCGATCCATATTTTCTTCATTTCCATGCTGTAATTCTTCATTCCGATGATCCATATTGCTTTCTCGTCAAAAAGTGCAATCAAAACAAAATCGGTTATTAATTGATACACTTCGTATAGACAGTGGAAGTGCGTTTTTTTTTTGATTTTTTTTTTGATTATTTCGATCATGTCCAACAAATCGATCCCTAAAGCCTTATTCAAAACTTGCAAACCATTAGAAGACAGTGGATCATTCCATGAAATCAGACTGAAAAGATGAATCCATACGAATAGTATTTCATTTCAAAACCCACAAAAAATGGCAAAAAGCAAAAGCAAGGCAAAAAAGGAGCAAAAAGACAATAATGAAGAGGAATTGATCATGAATGAAATGAAATCCTCGGAGGAAGAAGAATCAGAAAATTATTCCATGAAAGAAAATGATAATAGCGAGTCAAAGGAGAAAGCAAAGAAAAAGACAAAAAGAAGGAAGAAGAAAATTCCGATAATTATTTATTTAGAATACCACTATTGGATATCAAAATTACGTTTTCACACGTGATGATTACGTTTATTGTTGGATTTATTGCTCTCACTGCTGTTTTAAAATCATCCGAAAATTCTTTTTATTATGAATCCATGTATGATTTGGATCAAGTCAATTATTATCAAGTATTGGGAGTTTCAAAAGGTGCCTCCAGGCGTGAGATTCAAAAAGCACATCGAGAACAGACACGAAAGTGGCATCCCGACAGAAATCCCAACTGTGGAGAGGAGTGTGCACAGCGAATGGCTCTCATTTCCGAAGCATATAAGGTTTTGACAAATCCAGATTTAACAAAATGGCACAACGTGTATGGTTTGAGAGTGCCAGAAGTCATGATGAAGAAATATTCAAAAACTAATCAAGACGAATTTTAAATTTCTAAAGCTTAGTATTCTTCTTGTTTGTACCATTTCAATCCACCAATTCATCACTTTCCAGAGAAGATCGGCTATATTATACAGTCTTATGCAAACTCTAGGCAATTTAAATGGATAACACAAGCTGAGCTAATTCTCAACCAGCAATAAGCTCCAACCAATTTATTCGTGTCATCCAAGTACAAAAAAATGGCCAAACCAAAGAAGATTGAAAATTCATCATCATCGTCGGATCAAGATGCTCAAAAAACCGATGAGCAACGTCATATTGTATTGGAGGATAGACTCTTTCATGAAACAGCTCGTTTATTATTATTTGATGATATACAGGCTCATATGTACGCAAGTGATCCATCCAATCACTCCAAGAACCTAGCAGCCGAAAACAGTATTGTTCATAATCCATTCGGAGTAAAGAGAAGAAGAGTAGGAAAATCTCCTTCATCAAAAGATAACTCTTCTCGTTCTTCGTTCAAAATACCCTTCTTGCAATTGGAAATTACTTTTGCTCAAATCATGATTGCATGTATTGTTTTATTAATTGCTGCTGTTGCATTCATGAAGATTACATCGGAGAATACACCAATGGTGAACGAAGAGGATATCTATGAAAAGATTGATTACTTTGAAGTTTTGGAAGTTCCTAAAGGCTCTCCACTCAAACTCATCAAGAAAGCCTTTAGAAAACAAACTCGACAATGGCACCCCGATAGAAACCCTGATTGTGGTGAGGTGTGCGTCAAAAAGATGGCATTAATTTCTGAAGCACATACGGTATTGAGTAATGAGGAATTAACAAAATGGCACTTGGAGAAGGGTTATCGTGTTCCTGATTCCATGTTGAAGAAAGCAGCTAGAGCCAGAGATTAATTTGAAACATCCCGTAAGTGTCCGAGATTTTTGCAAGCACTCACTCGAGTCACACACACCAAAATCAAGATAAAATTGTATTGCACCTCCACAATTTTTGGTGATAGGATTTGGTGGATTGTAAATGAAACTTGGATTGTGACGAAAACAAACACTATATTATTAAACGTCATTATTGATACAATTGATTATTATTGTTATTACATGAATCTTATTGTTGTGATGTCACGGTAGTGGTATTAACCTTCTTTGTGATGTCAATCATTTGGGTGAGTGCTGGTTTGGACTACCCACTACGAATGATTCTGTTTCCATTTCTCTTCTAAATCTCTATCAATCCAAGCAAAACTTTTGTTTTGATAGAGAATGATATTGAAGGTTTTAGTGGATCTGTGAAATGTCCAAAGGACATTGCATGAGCAAATCTGTGCAAGCAGCCACCAATTCCACAGCATCCATTTGAGACAATTCAGGGAAGGCTTTCATCAAGTTTTGAACGGCAACCTGTTGAATGGTGGTGCGAATATCGTTGTGACTATTGTTGAACATTATCATCTGAGAGTGCTGAGAGGAGGAGTCATACTCATCATCCATATCACAACCGCTGGGACCTCCTCTTGATTGTTGTTGCGTGAGGAGAGCTTGTGCACAACAGGATGAAAGTTTGTTGAGGTTTTGCATGATTGATAATTTGGATCGAGAACAGTAGCAATAGGCAATCAAGTCCTTGAGGCTTTCATAGAGTGAGGGAGTCTTTTCTGGAGAGAACATGTTGGAGAGTTGAGCCGATGAAGAAATGTTGTTGAGGATTCGGAGAAGTGATTTCTGAGTGAGGAATGTTCGTACTGATGTGGGGTGGAGATATGATGAGAGTACGAATATCAATCATCATTGGGAGGATATGATGATTATCATAGGATCAATGTACAGTGAATTCAAGTTCGTTGTTGGCGATTTCAATAATAGATACATATTGAACTCGTTCCGAATCAAGATCCTGATCATAGGAATACTTACATTCTTCTCCAGTCCATGAAGAGAGAGCAACCTTCTTTAAATTAACGCTAGTAGGTGTGTTATACAGGAAACTATTCATTGGTGCTGTTGTTGTTGTTGTTTGGAGTGATCTAGAAATACAAAGGCCTTCCTGTTGTTGTTCTTTACAGGGTGGTGGAGGGTTTTCTTTCAAGTTTCTTCATTGCATCACCTAAGGACTCCTCAAGAGGTTGGTACCTCATGGAACCCACCACCTAACACTTGAAATTAACTGAATCTGCCCGTTTTCAACCACTTGAAACTAATTGAATCGAACTGAACTGAAGGATTGTTGGTTTGAATATTTTGCATTAACACATCCCGACAACTTCCTCAATGAAGGATCATCATCCAACTTGTTTTTATTGACCTCGTCAATAAGCCACTGATGGACAATCATCGCTGATTATTTATTTGAGAAAAAAAACAAAAATGTAATGTTTGTCTGGTGCAACATCAAAATTCGATCATTTCTCGAAAAAAGAATGGACCCAAAAACACCAAAAAACATAAAAGACGGACGGACAGGCGTTTCTGGAGATTTGATAATCGTTCTTGATCCAGGAATAATAACACACCAAAGATGGATGGACAGGCAAGATCCTTCACTTTTGGCCGTTATTATTCCTGGATCAAGAACTCTATTATCAAATCTCCAAAACGAATAACCGAAGAAGAAACTTGAAGGAATAAAAGCCCAAACCACAGGATTTTTCCATGAGCTGTGCATTGTGATTGACCAATCATCATCGGCATTAACATTGGACCAAACAGCCTCACTATCACCGTGCCATCAACAACATATTAAATTATATTACATATCAACAGCTGCCTTCATGTCTTCTCCGAAAAAGAATAGTGCTTCATCAAGAAAAAAGCATTGCAAGTTGGGATCATCATCCACATTACTCAATTTTCTGCTACAATTCAACCTTCATGTACTACTCTTCGTCTCATTCACGTTCTTCATCGTACGGCCAGTAAATGCCCAAACACCATCACTAGTAATCACCAACAATAAGCTCACCTCTCGAGGTTTTACAGCCAAATTCATAACAGCCACCGATCTTTCGGCAAGTCTTTCATCCTCCAACTCGGGATCAACCCTCACTAATGTCAACTTCTTTATATTGAATATGAGAGGAGGACATTTCGAATATCGAAACGGAAATGTATCTCTATTCGTCAACTCCTTCACCTCCAACGATATTCAGCAAGGAAAGGTTCTCTTCATACCAGATGGTTTTGTTGGTTCAACAAGCAACATCAACTCTCCCATTGAGTATCCTGCATACAATGTGATTGCTCAAGGCACCGTTCAAACAGCCTCGGGAATTGTCTTTGTCAACAGTACAGTCTCATCAGCTCAAGTGACTTATTCTAGATGGTCAGAGCCAGCCTTACCTCTCACTTGGACTACAATTTCGGCCTCAGCTCCCAAACCAATTGTTATCAACAGATCCAATTCTACTCATGCATATTTTGAAGTTACCATGTTCAAGAGGAATTTGGATTTAGATGGATCACCTGCGGCTTCTTTTCATGTTGCCTTACAGAGTGACACTCTATGTCAGACCTCAAGTAGTATTGTGTTGAATGCCTTGTCAGACAATTTTGTGTTGGTGAAAGACAGCTCCTATTCTCAGACTTTTGTTTTGATACGTCCTTTGCGAGATCATTTATCAGACTCGAAGGTTGTTAAAAATATGGCTGGAGTCTATATTGATGCAAAAACAACTATTTTCACTTCATACATGCTCTATGACCTAACCGCAAGCACATTCACATGTAAAACCATACCGTTCACCGAAGTGATCATTACTCAGGTGGATCTCTCGTTACAACCCATTCCTTCAACAGCTCATCCAGAAATTAGTCTCGCTCCTACTCGACTCGTAGTCTCAGATTCGTCACAAATTGAAGTTGGTATTTCGGTGAGAATTGCAGGCCTCAATAATGCCAATATTTTCAATTGGAATGTGATAGGTCCTAAATATTTTGGTGTGCGATATCCAATTCTTATTGATGTCAAATCTGATGCAAAATATTGGAAGTTAACTTTGGCATCTAATAAGGTTAATCCTGGTGATGACTTCAGTGGAATCTACATGGTTAGCTTTGAGTCACAAGTAAGTGGCCAAGCAGGATCGACCTTATATCAATTATCCTTTGCATTGCAATACATTGTTCCAAATAATGATAATGCAGGAAATGGTGGAAACAATGGGCTGAATTTTGATACACAGATTGACACCTATCTCGATAATCATTTTGCAACCAGTCCACCACAAACACAATTCTACAATGACAGTCTCATGTATGTAAAAGTTTCCACGATCATTGTGCAAACTGGTGTAGGTGGTCTTTCACCCATTCCATCTTCTAAACAAGTTGCACCGTGGAATGTTTTCATATGTTGCACTAAGAATTTACAGGCCATTCCTAGTAATCAGTGCAGACAATTCGATTCTACCATAATGACCTATCAAAAGCAGTTAATTATCAACGGAACTGTTAGTAATGATACAGATGTCAAGTATGGATTTAATCTTACCTATCCAGAAGAAATTTTAGGAATTTCTGATTGGGGTACATTAAGGCACATCTATGCATTTAGTTTATTCTTGGATCCACTTTTAACTGGACAAGATAAGAGATGTTTCTTTGCAGTAGATACCTATTTGGTGAATGCTGATATTCCAATTTTGCAAACATTGAGTACCAGGAAGGTCGCAACCATCTCCAAGCCCACCCTTAAGAAACTTTCCATTCATCATAATGGCATAATGCAAGAAAACCTAATTGATGTTGTGAGTACTGATCATAGCATGACGAATGACAGAAAATATTTAAGGAGTTTACAGGCAGTTGCAGCCTCGTCCAATATGATGTCCACAAGCACAAGAGCGTTTGACTTGATAGAACGAATGACACCTCGTTTTTCTTCTACACCAGGGATCAAATCTCCAAATCCCTCCACAAAAGTACAACTTCCCTCCATACAGTACATTTGTGAGAGTTTTGCATTGCCTTGCAAACAATTCCATTTGCATTACTGGATCATCATTCTTGTGACGTGTCTGTACATTTGCATGCTCGAGCAGCTTTGGATTCAAGCTTGAAGAGTGTTGTTGTGGGGAATAAAATTTTTCGCAACTGGCGGGATTCGAACGCGCGCCTTCTGATACCCGACATAACAGACGTTCTGCCACTAAACTACAGTCGCTCAAAAACTACTTTTTCTATTAATATGCTTTATGGTCTTGATCAAGGGAGAGAAAAGTTCACTGTATACACCCCGCTCTTTCGAAGTACATTTCCACTCGCAAAAAAATAACTGTCTTTGTACCCTTACCGATCTACTTCTCATCTCGTCGAAATTTCATCATGAGGAGCATGCTTGTTGTATGTTGATTTTTTGTATTTTCGTTGTATGATTCAAGCTGTTGATGTGATCTCCTTTCGATCATGTAAAACCTTTTCGATTCATTCCGATAGGCCTATATTTTATGGTTAGCTTGTTGTATTGGACTTTGTGGCATCCATCGATTCTACCTTGATTCAATCCTACTCGGAATTATCTCTTTACTCACGGGTGGTATATTTGGAATTTTACAACTTATTGATTTGTGCCTCATTCCCGGAATGGTGGACACCCTTAATGCCAAAGAACAAGGAACCACTAAGGTGGTGGTTGTTCAACAAACACAACCTGTGGCTCAGCCACCTCCCACACAGGTGGTTGTTGTAAATAATAATAATAATAACAATTAAACCTAGGTTGAACACTCTTAACAGGTGCCACTCCGCACGCTGATTATTATACAATGCAAGATCAATGCGGAAGGACAACAACAAAGAACTCGAACAATGGACTTACATTTTCCCACCTTAGTTATTACAATTTTGGGAAATTACTCGATTGATCACATGAAAATTCATCTCCGTTGAAACTCACTTCTTTTGAATGGGTACTCATGTTTGATCGTACTTGATCGTCACAAAACGCAATCTTCTTCTTCTTCTGTTTTAGTAAATTCCCAATCTCACTCTCAGATCTCTCCATTCACTCGATAACTTTTGGACATTACACATATATGGTGAACTTGTTCACTCCCGATTTAAATTCCAGGCCAGTGCTCCAGTCCACCCCATTCATCATTCTACAAATCAAAAAAACAACTGTTTTCAAAACAATAGAAACCAGCAGGTGCCACTTGTCAGTCTCCATCACCATGAAAAAGCTCCTCCTTTTCCTTGTCTTGGCTCTCATCCTTCTCGTGATAGGAGTGAACGCCAAATCTGAGTGGGTGTATCCAGGATATGGCTACAGGTATCGTTATGCCTACACGTATCCTTATTCGTATGGTTACAGCTATGCCTTTCCCTATACTTATGGATATTCCTATCCTTATTATTATGGATATTCGTATCCTTATGCCTACACCTATGCCTACCCATACGCTTACACCTATCCATATTCTTTTGGATATAGTTATGCTTATCCTTATTATTATGGATATTCGTATCCTTATGCTGCTTATTCGTATCGATATGCTTACATGTGGTAAAAGTGTTGCCTTTCCTTGATTAGAATATGTGTGTTGAATCCAATCCATTTGATGCGAGTGTTGTGAGTGTACGTATGGCGAGGTAAAGGATTTGATGATGTTATTTCTCTCTCTTGAAAAGTGTGTGTCACTCGAGAACTTTGTGTGTACGTTGTGTGTGAAAAATAAATGTTGTTGCCTTACTGAAGTTCTTTGTCTTCTTCAGTTTGTGGTAGTTCAAGGAGTCGTACGACTGATTGTCGATGACGGTTCGTTGATCAGAACCATTGGTGTGTTCATCTTGGAATCAATTTATAGAGAGGTCCGCATTGATAACATCCAGCGTCATCTTTCCAAATATGGATTATTTCATAATATTTCCTCATACCTTAAATTTAGTATTTCCATTCCAAGAACTCAACACCACAGTTAACTTGTATTTGCTCGCCACACACTCCTCATGATTTATATTCACACACTCGAAAAAAACCTCTCTTCTTCTTGAAGCAGCTAATAGTTCCTTTTTTAACCCTTTCAACACACCCATCCCCTCACTCATTGTCTCTCTTCGTACGAAGTGCTAGCTAACAGCATCACAATCCATACGATGAAAAGCTCTTCACCCTCTCTCCTCATTCATTGTCTCATTGTTTCCATCTTTGTGTGGTGTGCTCTTTTTTCGCATACTACTTCGAGGATAAGGTTCGAGTCCTCCTCTGATCCTTCCTTCTTCTTGTTTGGTGGATTACTCCTTGAAGGTGTCAAAGCGAGTACGAATAAGCTTCGAGGTGAAGCTTCCATCACTCAGCAAGCTCCACTACCTGCTGTTCAGAATACCTATTCAGTTCAACAGCCACAACCACAACCACAGCAAGCACCTCAACAACAGCAGCAACAACAAACTGCAACAGCCGATCAAGCAAGTGGAAATCCAACGGTGATTACCACCAGTGCTCAGTATCCACCGAATGCGAGTCCTCCAACTACGATCACAGTGATTTATCCAACATCGACTTCGAGTGGTGGGCAACAACCTCAGCCACAACCAGTACCTCAACCACAGCCACAACCAGTACCTCAACCTCAACCACAACCAGTACCTCAACCACAACCACAACCAGTACCTCAACCACAACCAGTGCAGATTCCTCAGCCTCAACAGTATTATCCTCAATCGACTTATTCGAGCACCGCAACCTATTCCACTCAGCAACAGTACAATCCTCAACAACAACCACAACAGTACTATCCTCAAACAACAACCTATCAACCTCAATATTATCAACCTCAACAACAACAACCTCAGTACTATCCTCAACAGCAACCACAATATTATCAACCTCAGTATTATCAACCACAACCACAGCAACAGCCTTATTATTATCCACAACCACAGCAACAACCACAACAACCTTATTATGGCAGTGGCCAATATTATTCTCAACCTCAATATTCCACAACACCTCCATACGGAACCTATGCCCCACAGCAACAACCTTATTATCCTCCAATCACACCTGGTGGTGGTTATTCGTATGGAACCGGATATCCTGCTTCAAGTCCTTACTATGGTGGTTATTCTTCGCCATATGTCTATGGAGCTTCTCAACCCTATGGTAGTTCGTATCCAACAGCAGCTCCTGCCTATTCAACTCCATATTATGGTTATTCCACACCTTATGCTACACCTTATGCTACACCTTACACTTCATCATATGCTTCACCTTATTATGGTTATTCATCACCTTATTATGCAACTTCAGTGCCAACGACTTATGGAGCTTATGGAGCTGTTCCAGGAGTGGTCTATGTGTAAAAAATCTTCGACAAAACCATGCACACACTGTGTGAAAGAGTTGATGCTTGTTCCATTTGTTGTTGATGGAAAACCCATACGAGAGTGTTTCATGTTTGAAATTAATTTGTATCCATCCTTTTAGAAGAGTGATTTTTTCTATTGATGTTGTTGTCTCAATCAAAATATTCAATCTTACGTAAGAGATAACTTTGAGCCGGTCCAGTGTACATTTATGTGTGAGAACTTGTTAATAAACCATTCGCCTTTCATTCTATTGAATGTCCATGAACTCTATGGATCGGAAAATGAAATTTCAAAGCTAACTCTATCATTGAGCTCTGGATGTTCAAAGCCAATACTACCATTGGACACTAAAAACATCCCACAGTGAAAAGCATGGTTGTTGCGGAATTGGGCCACACAGGGGATCTGACAGGTCATTACTGAAATTTACAACATGGTGATTGATTTTTGTATTAAATGATTTGATTTGGCTAGGCATTTAGCCGTATGTCAACTTGTCATATTCAGATGAAATGATGGTGCGATTGTGTTGGGATATAGGACTTTGCAAACAAATAAGCTGAGGCTAGAAAATTGCACTCGGCTTTTGTTTTTCGAGAACTGCGGAGATCTGTAGGAAAATGCACCAAGACGATTAATAATAAGGTTTTGGTTCTCCATCTTTTGATAATCTGATTTCTCCAGACCAATGAATTGGAAGAATGCTATTGCCATAAATGGGGCAAGCTTGTAAATACAGGTCGCAAATTGATTTCACGAATGGATCTTCAGTAAATGTGACCAATGCTTTCTTTCCCAAATTCAAACAATGATCAAATTTTCTACTTTGAAAACTGCGAACCATTTCGTCAATTAAGGTTAAGCATCGATTAGATGATGACACTGCTCTCTTTTCTCTGATTTCATACAAATCTTTGAATAATTGCTTTCCTTTCAAAATAAATCTTCCCAAATATACTGCGCATGCGACATCTCCAGGCTCCAAATGCGAGGCATTAATCACACTTTCTGTTACCAAAATACGGGTATTGAAACTTCTGTTGAGAGATTGACATCTTGATGCAATATTCACTGTATCAGAAATCACTGTGGCGTCTAATCGTTGTGTGAATCCAATTGTTCCCAAGCTAACGACTCCACTTGAAATTCCAATTCCAATTTTGATGCTAGAAATATTTTCTATATTGAAGGATTCGAGTTCAGACATCATTTCAAGAGAGGCTTGAATAGCTGACTGAGGCTCGGTGAATAAGGCCATAATACCTGTTATTTAAAATGGTAAGCAATAATTGTACAATCTTCGGTCACAACATACCATCGCCCAATATCTTATCAATAAAACCACCATACTTTGATATAGGAGGTCCAATCTTTGAAAAAATGTACCGAGTTGAAAAGATCAAACAGCAGCTCATACTTACTCTCATTAGAAGTCGGTTAATGAAATTAAATCCTTCTTTTGCAGAAAGTCTTTCCATGAGGTCAGTGAATCCATATATATCTGAAAAAAGAACGGTCATCTCACGAGAAACAGCGTCACCAAGTTGTATCTTAGTGACATGATTTTTGCCTAATAGTTTCAGGAACTCATAGGGTAGAAATCTTGTGTATGACTTGTTGATTGAGTTGAAAATTTCAGCATTTTCAATACTGATAGATATAATTAGCTTTGCAATGTTCACCTTTTCAGTAGTGAAAACCCCTTCAGTGTCTCTATTTTCCAAGTACATGCATCCAACCACGCTGTTGTCACGAATAATAGGTAAGCAAAGAGCAGATGCAATGTGATTTTTCTCAAAATAAGTATCTTGCTCTCCACTTGCGAAGTTTGATAATTGTTCGTTTCGTGTTCTAAATGTTCGATAGATACTTTTTTAAAGGTAACAAATTTGCATACTTCTCAATTTCATTATTTTCTCTCTCATTCATATCAGAGGTGTCATTACTGTATTCAGCATCACAAAAAATTCCAGATTCTCTTTTTTAGAACTAAACAGCATCTACTGGCGTCTGTATGTTGGCTCAACAGTGGAAGAATTGAAACAAATATTTCCTTGAAATCTAAATTGTCCGATTCTGAATAAGTTTGAGTTAAGGATAGAAAAGCTTCTCGAGTGGTACAGATTGAATCTGACGAAGAACTACATGAAGAAGAAGACAATGTTGGCTGAGAACCAGCACCAATTCCTTTGTTGCCCAGGACCTCATTATTATAAGCATTAATATCCTCCTTGTAACTTTCCCAAATATGATTCACTATTATGGATGCTCCCATCTCGTTAAATTGTTCAAAAGCATTTGATAAATATCTTCCTACAACAATATTTTCCATCTCTAAATCTTTGTATATTTCACCCATTCTCCAGTTCACTAATTTTAAAATAAAATGATTTCGTTCTCGAGTGGCCCATTTTAGTGCACTATTGAGAGAAGAAATAACATGTCTTGTATCTTCTATGTGTCCTTTTTGTAAATGTTTACAGAATAGGTGTTCAGCAGTAACCAATTCAAAAGAGCATTTAAAAACTAATGGATTTGTTGTTGATAGCATGTCAAGAGTTTTCAATGAATAATCAATCAGAGTTTTACATCTCGAAAATAGCTCGGGATGATCTACATTGTTTTTTAGGAGGTGGTTTTCGTAAGTGCAAGCAATCAAACCTTGAAAAATAGCATCAATCCAAGTGCTACATAGTCCAATAGAGTCTTCTTTAAACTCATATGATTTTTCCATGCAAAGAAAAGCCTCTTCCCACATCTGTTGAAAGTAACAGCAAATTCCTTTAAACATGTGATGGAGTTGCCTGAAGAAAGGATACTGCAACACATCGCACTTGTATACAGGATTGAATGTTTCAATTTCTCCACTCAATACGCACTTTAGGTCCAATATCATTTGACTGGCATCGCGTAACAACAAATTACCCATGTTGTCAAACAATGAAATAGCCTTCTTGCTCGATTCAATAGATGAACGAATATCGTTGTTAGAGTAGAAAAAATGGTGAAGAGAATGCCATAGTATTGAGAATCCACCGAACGTTCTGTGAGTACAATTAATGTCTGCTAAAAAAGCTTCCTCAGTGATACGCCAGACTTCAATTGCATTGACATTTGAATAAAGAAAATAACCCAACACTTTTGGCAGTAGACATGCAGAGAGGACTTGATTGTTATCTTTGTACCTATTTCTAGCCAATTCTATCGCTGTATCAATAAACAAAGTCATTTTGGGATAGAGATCTATCGTATTCCAATACCACCCCAAACTGGACAAGACCATTGAGCAGAGAGGACATAGGCCTTTAGTTAACACCATTTCTGATGCTAACAATAAAATGATCATGGCCATACACTTGCTTGATGCGTTTTTGTTTTCGTCATACGACTTCATGAGAAATAATGCAGGTGCAGATATTCCTAGAATGTTCACAATATAGATCTGTTCGGCATCTGTTAAATCTGGCAATTCCAAAATATCGTATTTAGACGTTATTTTGTCAATAATATTCAATTTAAAGTGATGCATTTTGTCGGATATCCAAATTTTAAGGAGCTCAATGTTCGGATTACATGATAAAAACTTGAGCTCGTCACAAGTTCGGAAATAGGTGATGTTTCAGAATCTCGAATACATCCTCATAATTTCCTTGAGAAACGTGTACCATAATAGAGTAGTAGCACGCTTCAAATAGATGAAGTCTATTCTTTGATTTGTCAATTGCTTGATTGAAGAGAGAAGCGGCAGATATTAAATTTGTTTCATATTCACAATTGCCTTCCAAAATTAAAAGTTTAAATGCAATATCATATGAATCATTCCAAACATCTATTGTTCCATAATGAAGGATTCTTTTTGCAATGCTCACAAAATTTCGTGCCTGTTCTATGGCACCGCTGTTGATAGCTTTTGACGCAGCTAGGGCATTTAGTTGTAAAAGCATG